TTCGCAGGAGTTCTTCTGAATTTGCTCGAATTCGAATTAAGTTTGGCTCTGTTACCTTGTTTTTCCCTAATAAACTGTTTCCTTGGTTGTCCCTATGAAAAACCTCTATTTCCTTTGTCTTTTAATAAGGGTCCTCTATATGTTTTCACGGGATTCTCATTTGTGTCCATGCATGTTTCATTATTTTTGATTAATATGGTGTCCATTCATATTTTAATGTGGTTTCCATTCATATTGAAAGGATTTCTACTCTTCTGTTTAAGATTCCCACTACGATTCACAGGATTCCCATTGATTTCCATTCTTTTTAGTTTTAGTAAGGTTCAGGGTTTACTGTTGATAAGGTGCGTGCTCAATTTAATACGCTTCCTACTAAGTTGCACAGGATGTCCATTGGTCTTAAAAAGGTATGCCATGGGTTTGACAGGATCGCCAGCCAGTTTAATTTGATTCCTATTCATATGCTCTCAAGCAAGCTTGCCCCCCCCCCCTCCAACGGCTTATTCTCTATTTTACAACCTATCTAAAAAAACTATCGGTTAAGGCTCTAGGGTTTTAAAGAGAAGCCCCCGAAACCCTGTCGTGTCAAGCAAGTAAGCCCAAACCCTTAACCTTTAAACCTACAGGGTTAAGGTTAAGGTTTAAAGGCTTCGCGTTTAAGATTTAGGCATGTAAACCTAAGCCCATAGAGTTCAATCGTTAGGGATTAAGGTTGAAACATTCAAACCCTTAACCGTAAACCCTTGGGGTCAGAACCCTAAAACACCATAAGGCTCTAAAAGGTTCAAAGGTTTTAACCCTATAGGCGCCCAGACCTTAGATTTGTATACCATTAAACCCTTTAGGGTTTAATGGTTTAGGGCTTCAGGGTTTAGCTCTAAAACCCTCATGGGGTAAGCCCTTTAGGGTTTAAACCCTGTATGGTATAGGGTGATGCGAAGAAATCATTGACTGTAAGCCCCGGGGACGCGAGAATACTGTGAGCAAATATCTTTTCACTATTTCCTGAGCCTTTCCAACAGGCTGCTAGTAATTGCTCGCAAGTATCTTGCTGTTCATTCTCAATGTTCCCCACAGGTCTCCCAACATGTATGATTTCTCAAGGACATGCTCATTTTCCGATAAACCGCAAGACTCACAAGCACATAAGGTCTTATATGACATTCGTCCCAAGCAACTGGGAAACAAAAAAGTATTGTTTTCAGGGTGCTTCAGGTGGTCGTGCGTCTCCCAAGAAGAAATGATATAACATATTACGGGACCTGTGCTGCTATATCTTAATATAGCGAGAGGGTGTAGGATTGTTTTGAGTTGGAGGGGTAGGTAAGCCAGAAGGTTTTGTTTAGAGACACGTCTCGTAAGAACAAAGGAAAATAGCATGCTACCGAAACTGTGAAGTTATATCTTAGTATAGAGAGGGTTTAGGGTGGTTTTGAGTTGAAGGGGTACGTAAGGTTGCTCTGTGGTACGAGCTGCACTGATATGGAATATACCCACAATTTGTGCAGAACAAACATACAATGCGCGCCTTCAGAATTGTAGTATGCTTGGATCTTCAGGTTTTTTGGTGTACCGGTTGAGGTTTGTGTTGAACCACACCCTGTACTTAAGTCGGAGACCGAGTTTGGAGTTTGAGATTTGTGTTGAACAGCACCCTGTACGCACATCGGCGTGCCTCTTACAAACCCTAAACTCAGGAGGGGTTCATGTTAAGGTTTTAGGGTTAAGAATTCAATACCTGTAGTCCTAGCCCTAAACCCTAAACCGGAAAGCCTAGGAGAACGCCTGAGTGTCACCTCCACACAGTAGCCCTATGTAATCACTTTGTAAGACCAGATATTTCTTATAGTGCTCATGCCGAGAAAGAGTCAAGGTAGGGTTTAGAGAGGCATAAATGTATGAAAAAGGGTAGATCTTTGGGGGGGTAGCATATATATATATATATATATTGATTTATTTCATTTATTTATTTTTTATTCTACAATCTCATCATGAGATCATTCTAGCTATGATTATATCATGTTATTACAGTCGGAAACCTTGGAATCAAGTTGCCTCTTCGCATGTTCTGGTCGTAGAGGTGGGCCTTTAACAGGGGGGCTTCTCCTGCACACAGCCATGCTGACAAAATGAGCCTCAGTCCTTCTTCCCGCATCTTCCCGCGCACCGGCGCAGGCGAAATGTCCGAGGAGGAGAAGAAGCCGGGCTCTCTGCGCGTTTTCCAATCTTGGGGTTTGCTGGTTGTGTCAGTGATGCCCGTCCCCCTTTTCGTTGAGCTTTGTTTGCCTTCTAAACTCCATCAAGCAAAGACGGGTTCCGAACTTATATATATGCACCTGGGTTGTTGAGTTCTAAATTATACCCCTAGGTCACTTCGTGACCTGGCTTAGGATGCGGAACCCGAACCAGCTCGACCCTGACGGTAATCAAGGCTGGTTTAGTCAAAGAGAAGGGCCATTTTATTACTATTTGCTTACGAACCCTCCCCTCCCCTCCAAAAACAATATTCTGCCTTGTAAGGGTAATATAGCGATTATGATTTGTTTTGTGAGGGATCTTATGTATTCTGAGGCTCGGCAGGTGCCTCTAGGCGAAGGGATCGAGGGAAATCCTTCTCCGTCCGGGCTGGGAACCTAAACCCTATGGGGGGAAGAAAGCAGGGCGATGGAATGGAGTCTCCGACGTGCCATTTATGCAGACTTAGGGAAAAGAATCACGATAAGGTGCAAGTCCTTCTAAATAAGCAGCTACATAGGGTTCAGGGCTTAGGAACCTACATAATGTTGGGATGTTATACTAACAGTCTTTAATAGGGATGATAGCACCCCCCTGTTCTATCCCCTATTAAGAACTCCTATTACAAGGCTGAACATCCCAACCTACATGTATCAGCAGACAGCTTCCCAGGAAGCAGCGCGCCGCGCGATTCGCGACGGCCAAATGAGGGTTCATTCGGTCTGAGACCAACCACTGGAAGCCTCGATGTACGAAAGACCCAACATAATGATGATGACGATAAGAATGATGATCATGACTATGATCAGGGTAATTATCTAGATGCAACCGTTATTACTTTTTAACTTCCTGTTAGTACCATTGTCATGATGAATACTGCTGTCTGCTAGAGCCGTGGGCTTTGCAGACTGCCGGCAAGTGACGTATGATGTAGATGCCACCTTGACGCCACATCATGAGCACCTCCCAGCATACCTTAGCCACGCGGTGGACTGCGACGGCTGTTTGTGTAAAACATATACCCCAAACCCCAAACCCCAAACCCCAAACCCCAAACCCCAAACCCCAAACCCCAAGCTTATCCTGACTCATGCCTTGGTGATTGCATGGATAAGTAGTAGCAGACGATAGCTGGCCTCAAAATCGACTTACGCGCAGGACCGGTCTGCGAAGCGTGTCCAAAAGCGTCGCGAGGGCTCTGGATTTCCAGACTTTTGGCAACAGAAAGTAACGTATAGTAAGTATAGTAAGGTCATATTATACGAAAAACGAAAAAAGATAGTAATCAGTTTTCATCTACAGATATTCATGGTTTGGCTTTCTGGCATGTCATGGAGGATGTGGCGATGTGGCTGCACGCACAAGTGACACACAAGGCCCGAAGACATGTCAGTGATGGTCAGGAGCTGGGTTGTGCTGTGGGATAAGTTTTAGTTTCCCCTCTTTCCCTATAAGGGAACCTATTCATAAATAGTTTCCAAAGGGTTTAAAGCGCAACTCAGGGAGGCATGATGCTGCAAAAGTGACGATTCTGGTGCATCGCAAACCCTAACCCCTAAACCCTAAACCCTAAACCCTAAACCCTAAACCCCATGCGCGGTGCGCCAGGGCTGGAGTTGGGGGCAAGTACCAAGAAGGACACGAACACATTTGTCATGCTTTCAGTCTTGTAGCATTTGGCTCCCAGGATTGTAGGGTTGTGGCAGCTAGCAACAGTGGCCCGCTCCTCTCAGAACAAGGACGATGGCCACCTACTGTACCTACGAATCCACCTTCATTGCAGTGAAGGACTATGGCAGGGTTTAGGGCTTAGGGCTTAGGGCTTGGCGCTTAGGGCGTAGGGCTTAAGGCCCATGAAGCGTTCAGCAATTCTGCGGTTGCTGAACTCGGGAAGCTTTTCGACCCTAAGCCACTAAATTCAGGTGGGAGCAGCAGAATTAGCATGGTTGAATGGGGAACCCTAAACCCTAAACCCTAAACCCTAAACCCTAAACCCTAAACCCTAAACCCTAAACCCTAAACCCTAAACCCTAAACCCTAAACCCTAAACCCTAAACCCTAAACCCTAAACCCTAAACCCTAAACCCTAAACCCAAACCCCCAAAAACCCAAAATCCCTAAACCCTAAACCCTAAACCCTAAACCCCAAACCCCAAACCCCAAACCCCAAACCCTAAACCCTAAACCCTAAACCCTGAACCCTAAACCCTAAACCCTAAACTCTAAAGGCAAAGACAGAACCCGCAAATAAAGTGGGAGAGGACGCGCCGGCGCCCCCTCGCCGTACCTCGCGGTCCGCTCCGCCGACCGGCGACCGGCCGCACTTTGTCGAGACCATAGCCAGGCCACGACTCGGGGGGTTTGGGGGTTTGGGGTTTTAGGGTTTGGGATTTGGGGTTTGGGGCTTTAGGGTTTGGGGTTTAGGGTTTATAAGGTTTAGGGTTTATATGGTTTAGGGTTTGGGGTTTAGGGTTTAGCGATCAGGGGGCTGATGTGAATTGTTGATTTTTTTTTTTTTTTTTTTTGGGGGGGGGGGGGGGGGGGGTTGTGTAAAAAGTCTAAAAAGTCCATGATTCTGTAAATCGACCAGTGGTTAAGTACGCTTACATATGTCGAGCTGCCATGGCTACTTCCTTCCGGGGTTCTTCAATGAAGGTTTGTATTTGGGCACGGTCTGCCTTGGAGGACCCAGATTCGGGGGACTCTCTATGCCGTACTTTCGGGCGCCTGATGCCTGGCTAGCTTGGCTAGCGCTCTAATCCGCCATGCACCCCCATGCCCCCCGCACCCCCCACCCCAAGACCCAAAGCCCCAAAGCCCCAAAGCCCCAAACCCCAAACCCCAAAACCCCAAAACCCCAAAACCCCAAAACCCCAAAACCCCTAACCCCTAACCCCCTAATTAGCCCCTAACCCCCAAACCCGTAAACCCCCAAACCCCAATCGAACCCTGGGCTGCAGGAAGTATGTCGAGACCCTGGAGACTGGGTAGCATTGGAAACCAAACTTGGTTAGCACGTGTGGCGAGCAACACTCAACCTTAGGGATACTGGGAATGATTTTTAAATTTTGGGGCACTATAATTCCTAAGAAATAGCTAAAATTCATAATGTTTGCTAGGGTTCCAGGTACAGTATAGACTATAGAAGCCTTTCAAGGCACATCATGAAGCCCAGGGTTCGGTTGAGGCTTGCACGGATCCAGGTTTAGGGGGTTTTGTGTTCGGGGAGCTATTCTTACGCCAAGGGAGGAGGGACCCTTTTTAAGGGATCTTACGGTTTCTTGAAGGGGCTACTTCGGTATATATGGACTATGTAAGGTATATCTAGGGGTTAAATAGGGGAATGAGATTAAAGGTCCCTTCTATGGGCCCCTCCCCAGAAGAACCTTCAAGCTGCCGAATGTAGGAGCCTTAATAATTAGAATAGGGTTTTGGGCTATGAAAAAACATAATAAGAAGAGGGACCATAAGGGAATAATACTAGTCATTTTTCCGACCCCTACATTACACCAACGTAACAGAATTTAGGGCTTGAAGACCTCCGACAGGTGGTCAATGAAACGCTGAAAACCCATTCACCAGGAACCTGAAGCAACCCTCCCACGCCCTAAATCCGATAATCCCGAAGCCCTAAGCCTCGAACCCTAAACCCGAAACCCTCAACCCTAAACCAGCCATAAGCCTCGAACCCTAAACCCTAAGCCCTAAACCCTAAACCCTAAACCCTAAACCCTAAACCCTAAACCCTAAACCCTAAACCCTAAACCCTAAGCCCTATCAAGAGCGAAGGAGCACCGCGCCGAGCAACTCCAGGCCGATAAGCCCCCCACGATGGACGGCGCGGAGGAAATCCAAGAGGAGGACGCCTCCTTTTTTCGTCCTCCCTGTTAGGGTCTATAGGGTTCAGGGTTTAGGGTTTAGGATGTGGGGTGCTTTTGGGGGTTAGGAGTTTAGAGAAAAATTAGGGACTAGAAAGTCAAAGTTTGGGGGGTTAGGGTGGGGTCCCCTCAGCTCATGTCGGCTTCATGAACAGCTGGGCATGGGGCACATGGCATTCGAGACATCGTCCAGGGGCTAAGGGCGTATCTGCGCCCCTAAACAAGCAGTGGGCAGCAACCCTAAACCCTAAACCCTAAACCCTAAACCCTAAACCCTAAACTGCCCTAAACCCTACCAAAGGCGTGGCATGGGCAAACCCACAGACTCCAACCTTCAAGGAGTCGTGGCGACCGGCAAACCCTGAGCCCCAAAAGGAGTGAGAGTCAAGAAGCGGCAGGGGACGTCGGCCCCCACCCCGAAACCCTAAACCCTAAACCCTAAACCCTAAACACAGTGTGGGCCCGGTGGTGCGGCTTCGCAACGTCGCGTCCAGACATGTATGCTAAGAGACAGGGTGTGCCGTGCGGTAACCGTTTCAGCATGCTGGCTCTACATCCGCCAGCATTCATGCCCCCCGGCCCCCCCCCCCCCCCCACACACTCAATCGTGCGTTTTTTTGGGTTTGGGGTTTAAGGCTTCGGGTTATGGGTTTAGGGTTTCGTGGTGCACCCCTGCGGTTTGGGTTCTCCCCCTCTCTTCGTGCTGGGTCTGGCGGTTGAGGGCGGGCCAAGCATCAAGAAGGGCAGGCCGGAGGGAGGGGGAGTCGGGGGATATCACATGCGGAGGGAGGGGGGCGGGGGGTCGAGAAGGTGGAGCGCGGACACACATATGGGTATAAGCTTCAGGGTTTCACGGCGAGCAAGCGGACAGAACAACGCTTCAACACAGCACTTTGGCAGAATCAGTTTAGGGGTTTCCGAAAACTAGAGTACCTTTGAGGGTCCCTACATAGGGGATTCTAGTCCATTTGAGGTATAGAAGGGTACTGTAAACCCTAAACCCTAAACCCTAAACCCTAAACCCTAAACCCCCTATTCCCCATTCAGAGAGCTACGGCAAGCGATCTCCGCCACCCTCCGAGGAGGCTCCCCAAGTTGCATCTACAATGCCGGAGGAGCAGTTGTCCCCTGAGAAGGCCCCGGCCACATTGAGCCTTCTTCTTTTTAATGGGGGGGGGGGGGGGGGGGGGGGGGGGGTTTAGGGTTTAGGGTTTAGGGTTTAGGGTTTAGGGTTTAGGGTTTAGGGTTTAGGGTTTAGGGTTTAGGGTTTAGGGTTTCGTTTAGGGTTTAGGGTTTAGGGTTTAGGGTTTAGGGTTTAGGGTTTAGGGTTTAGGGTTTAGGGTTTAGGGTTTAGGGTTTAGGGTTTAGGGTTTAGGGTTTAGGGTTGGGGTGGGGGGGGGTGGGGGGGGGTAATAGATCATGAAGTGTAGCATATAATCTTCGACTACTACAGTGGTCAAGCAGCACTATACGACTTAGAGTTAAACAAGAAGCAATGCAGCAATTTAGGAATATGACCTTTTCTTAGTAGTAGAGTCTTAGAGTAGGTAACCTTTAACCTCTTTGGGGTATTATAATCACCTTTTCATCCCAAAGGTTAACCCCCCAATTCCCCCAGGTTACTGGACAACTAAGTTAGTTCGGTCTTTCGGGCTTTCAGGCACAAAGGGCTGGCCGGCATCGTTGAGCATTCATGCCTTGACCGACTTGACGTGATCCATTCTGGTTTGCTATTTAACGCCTCGCTTCCTGCACAGAAAAACGTGGGCCAAACCCGAAGAACCGTAAATTACCCCAAGAAACCTAAAAACCCCACCAACCGTCAACCCTACAGAGCCCTAAAAACCCGAAGAACCCTAACCCTAAAAACCCTAAGTGTAGGGTTTATTGCTTGGGGTTTAAGCTCTTAGAGTTTAGGGTTTATAGAGGGTTTATAGAGGGTTTATTCTATAGGGTTTATAGGGTTTATAGGGTTTATAGGGTTTGTCGGGTTTATAGGGTTTATAGGGTTTATAGGGTTTATAGGGTTTATACGTAGCTCTCTGGGTGCAGGCGGAGCTTGCGCCTCTCCCCTCCAAGGGCAGTTTTGGGCACCCAGAGCTTTGCAAGAAGCCCTGCCTGCGACTCGCCATGTAGGGTTTAGGGTTTAGGGTTTAGGGTTTCTGCTAAACCCTAGGCCCCCTAATGACGCCCTTGAACCCCTTGCGTTAGGGTTTGGGGTCCGAAACCCTACACGCTTCTGAAGGTCAGGAGTTCCGGGCTGGTTAAAAAGTGGGGTGTTTCGGAAGGGAGTAGGGTCTCCATGCCAAGGGCCTATGATATACCCTAAGGGTTTTTCGGGTTTAGGGTTTAGGGTTTAGGGCGTAGGGTTGCTATTTGGACTCATGTTCAGGGTGTGGGGATGAGGGTTTCCTCATGCCCATGGCTGGTTGGGCTGGCAGTCCTTTGCCCCCAGTGGGCCCTATAACCCTTAAATCCAAGGGTAGTTGTATGGGCCCTTAATATGGTCCCTTACCTCCTTTAAAGTGTTCTGAAGTATGGGGTCTTTAGGTTGTGTAGGGTATACAAGGGGTATTTAGGGGGTCCCCTTGTCAAGGCCCATACTGAGGGACCATGCAACTACGCTGTGAAAGCCTAAACTGCACCTAAGGGGCTGCCTAACCAAGGCCCCCAGCAGGACTCGTTGCGGGCCGTAATCAGGCACAGCTAAAGAGTCCCGAGCGAATTCCGCAATGGCTGCCCTTAGAATTTGGGGTTCGATCATGGGTCCTGCACAAGCATTTGGGGTCGGGAGGGTTGCGTGCTGGTGCTTCCTCCGAGGTTTCTCCGCTACGGCATTTGCCCGAAAGGCGTTCAATGTGAATACTGCCGCTTGGCCCGGTGGTATCCCGTTTTGCCCATTTTGTTGCTTTCATAGGTTCCCGTTATTCTCATATAGGGCTTCTGGGCCACCTGGTGAGGCCACGTGCCGCATGCCGGCCGTGCCGTGAAGCTTGACAAGCGTCAGCGAGACTCTTTGAAGGAGCTGAGCGAAGCGGCACTGCTCGGGTTGCTCTTGCCTCACCTCAACACCCGCGTTTCAAAGTTGCTTGGTAGCCCAGTGGTACCCTTTACCCTTTTTTTGGTTATGGGTTCCCTTGTAGAATAACCAACCCAAAAAAGGGTGCCCTTATGTTTACTGGGCCACGAAGGTTGAATCTGCCCCAGGGTGCGGCAGACACGGTGCTCCTGATGGAGCAGCATTTGGCTTCCTTGCCTCATGAGCCTGAGGGGCATAGCATGGCGGCCTGGAAGATCAATCAGCTGAATCGGTTCTTGCGCCAGATGAGCTTTATGCGCTTGATTCGACTCGCCCCTTGCAGTGACCAGGGTGCCATTAAAGATGTGCTGGCACGCCTGCAGGGTAGCGAGGCCACTACTCAGCAACAGGTCTGAGACTCGGTTGCGACCGCTGCCGATCTCGGTGCATTGTGGTGGTGTGCGCAATGTGTTGCTTGTCATGTTATAGAGTCGTCGGGTTTGAAGTCTGAAACGGGGTTGCTATGTGAAAACAGCTGCGTCGCTCTCGTGGCGCTGGCGCAGAGCTATCTGTGATTTTTCAAGCTGAGGATTTTTTAATTCGTATTCACCGGCCTCACTGCTGGCAGTTAGAATCAAGGCAAGGACGTGATCAGAACAGAGCTTGCTAAAGTTCTCGATCCCTGGGCTGTCTGACGAAGTTCATGCTACCTAAACCTGGCTACAGATTCGTCAGCAGCCCTTTGCGGGAAGCCCATGAGCGTGCACAAAGCACGACCTGGTGCTGTCCGTTGCTAGCAGTTTGGGCTTCTCTGGGTTATGGGACTGCACCAGTTGGCGAAAACCTTCAGAAACCTTCAGAATGTGAGGATTTAGGCTGTAAAGGGTTCCCTTTCTCTCCTTCCCTTCGGTCTGCAGGGTTAGGGTTTAGGGCTTTAGGGGTTTAGGGGTTCAGGGCTTTAGGGGTTTAGGGGTTTAGGGGTTTAGGGGTTTAGGGGTTTAGGGCTTTAGGGCTTTAGGGCTTTAGGGGTTTAGGGGTTTAGGGTTTAGGGTTTAGGGTTTAGGGTTTAGGGTATCGCCAGCCGTGCCCTCAACGGGTGGTGGCCTGCGTGCTCAAATCCCGGAGCGGCCCGCCGGTACGCGGGACATCCGCCGAGAATAAGTGACCAATTCGCTTCAGGCCACAGCTTGGGCTTGTGGTGGAAGCTTCCACGTAGGTTTCGGATGGCCCTTCTAAACTAGGATGCCCAGCAGTACCCCTATTCCCTTTTTTTGGGGGGGAGGGGGGGTTTTGGTTCCCTTAGATCCTAGGTTACTGGGTAACCTAGTTAACCTTGCCGCCTAAACCCTAAATTCCCGTAGGTCCAGCTGCAGTGGAGGAAGCTCCACAGTGCCTAGTGCTTTGGAGAAGAGCACCTCATCAGGGGTGGTTTGAAAAGCTTTCCTGGGCTGAGGCCAGTATTGGGGCTTCAGGGGGCCGAACCCCTCACAGGCCCTGCACCCTGAAAACACCGAAACTTACCAAATGCACCCTAAAAGAACCAGGGTTGCGGGGTTTATCGCTCTCCCCTGTGCCTCCTTGGGTCAACCCCCCCTGAAGCCCCTGCCGGCCGCATTCGTATAGATGCTATAGGCCGAGGGTTCGACTGGGCGGCCACGCGGCCTGCCGAAAGCAGTTACAGGTCGCTTCGCCCTTGGGTTTGAGGTAGTTTAAGGTTTGGGGTTTAGGGTTAAGGCCCGAGTGCAGCGGTGCTTTGTATTGAGTTTCAACTGGATTTAGATGAGTAGATTAGGTCTTTAGGACACTGCTCAAATCCCATTTCTAGTCTAGTATCTTAGTGATTTTAACGGCCCTGGCCCCCGGGAGAGGGGGGGGAGGGGGGGGGGGGAGTCCGGCCAATAAGTTCTTGTTTTCGGGAAGGGATTTCCAAGAGCTGTGGTCAGCAAGCTTATGGGTGAAAGGTGCGAGTGCTTGCGTCGAACCTTTGGCAAACCAGAAAGCTGCAAGTGTTGATCTCTCCTCCCTGCATGTGTATACCTCTTGCCCAAACAAAAATAAGAGGCATGACAAAATGTTGTACAGTGCAATGGGTCCGCCGGACAGTTTCGAAAACAGGGCTCACTCTGGAGTCTCGTTGTGCTGTAAACCAAATTCGGTTCTCTGCTGCCTTTGCCCTCTGGAGCCCGCGACCGGCCTCAAAAGTCTGCGCTTGTACAAACACGGCGTGCGGCTGCACCCTCCGTCGAGGCCCGGTGCCAGGCTCCAAGGAGGTTTCGGGTATGTTTAGAGGTTATAGGGGGGCCTTTCGGGCTGAGTTTGAGGTTTTCGGGGGTGAATTGGCTTAGGTAGTGGCCCCCTTTTCCTGTCTGTTATGGGCTGCGAGGGCAACGACAGGACACCGCGCCACGCAAGCTCCCCGTGGCTTGGCCCCCAAGGCCACCAGCGCTTTGACCTCGCCACTTGCATGCATGAGCTTGGCGGAAAAGCGGAGCAGATACCATTAATTGCATAAGAACCCCCCCCCCCCCCAAAAAAAAAAAGAAATCTTCTTTATAAGGGTAATATAAAGGGGTTATTGTCTTTCATATTTTGGGGGTTCTTAGGCGCGGGGGCCGGATCTAAGAGCCTCCGGCTCAAGCCGCCGACCCCGCAGGAGAACAGGGTGTTGCGTTTAGGGTCTAGCGGCCAACTCCCGGGATTCCCCAGGATGCCCAGTAGTACCCTTATTCCCTTTTTTTGGGGGGGGGGGGGGGGGTTAGGTTCCCTTTTAGACCCCTTCAAGCAAGAAGGGGCACCCTTTTTAAGCCTTGGTTTTTCTGGGCAGCCTAGATTCAGGGTTTCGGGTTTTGGGTTTTGGGTTAGGGCTAGGAGGAGCCTCCCCTTCAGCGTCCAGGAGCTTTGCAGCTTTGCAGGGGGTGGGGGGGGGTCAGAGTCCCAGAAAGTTGAAAGGGTGATCAAGGGGGGGGGTATCAGGAAAATCCAAGATTTTTCGGAGGAGGAGGGCAGGAAAGGGAGGTCTCAGGCATGTTCCAAACAGGTTTTAGAGGGGTCCCAACAGAGGAAAAAGGGAGGTTTCACTTTCACCTCCGAAGCCCATCCCACACCCGCCGGGGTCCGCGGACTTAGAGCCTACACCCCAAAAGAAGAACTCTAAGCCCTAAACCCGAAAAGGTCGACACTGCAAAAGCGATAAGCGGCATCCTCCTCCCATGCAAACGCGACCTGCTCAAGTACAGCGGAGGGAGTAGGCTTGGGTTTGGGGTCTTTAGGGTTTAGGGTTCAGTATTCTACCCAAAACACGAAACTAGTAGTATTCGGCCTTATGATCCGCCACAATCGGCCCTATCGCGGGCCTGTTTGGGGGGGGGGGGGGGGTTATCGGGTATAATAGCCCGTCCTGCCATGGCTCTGCGGCTTGCAGCCCATTCAACAATGGTGTATTCTGAAAGAGACGGGTATCTGTCTTAGCCAGTTCCAACACCTTGTGGGGTTCAGGTTTAAGGTTTAGCCATGTTCAGCCCTAAAGGCTTTACTACGCGTGAGATTTTCGGTTTAGGGTTGTTTAGGGTTTAGGTCATCCCAACTCATCTTCGCGTCAGTTTCCTGCTGATTCTTTTGCGGCCATGGGTCTCCGCCAGCGTCGTCCTGGTGGCGCAGGCCATTTGATGCATGGGGGTTTATAGGGCTGATCACACTACACTACAGTACACTACCATACTATACTCTGCTATGCTATACTATATACTCTACGTTTAGTTACGTATACTTTGTAGGTCTTTTTGTGCTTGTAGGGTTTTGAGACTCAGCCAGTTGAAGCCTTAGGGCAGGTAAAAGGAGTTACTGGTGGGGTTTCGGGATGTGTGGTGGAGTGGGTATCCCTGGGTGTGGCCTTTTAGCACAGCCAAGATTGCTAGAACAGAGGTTCACTAGCAATTAAGCCCACAACTTAGATCAAGCAAGATCAAGGCTTTTTCAAGCACAGGAACATGACCATGAAGACACACCTGGGCAGAAAACCCACCGCACCCCTGCCCCCCCCCCCCCCCCCCCCCCCCCCCCCGGCCCCCAAAGGCCCGGAAACGCGAAACCCTCCTTCGAGGTAAGGCGCAGCAGGAGACCCTAAGCCCTAAACCCTAAACCCTAAACCCTATACCCGAGGCAAGGCGCAGCAGGAGACCTCCTGCTTCGCCTTCCTGGGCCTCTGTTGGCCTTGGCACTCATCCTCCGTGTCCTTGGACGAGCCGGACGCCGAGGAGCTTCCTGATCTGCCCAGCGCCTGCCGAGAGGTCCTTTTAAGGACCAAAAGAACCCTGAAAGGGTTTAGGGTTTAGGGTTTAGGGTTTAGGGTTTAGGGTTGATCTACCCTAATCGGGATTATAGTATGGGGTTTCTGAGTCCCAATTTTAGGGTTCATTTGGTCCCCAAGTGTGGTCGGGTTTGTAGGGTGTAGAGATTTAGGCACACAGGTCCAGGAATCCAAAAATTTGCCGTGTCAGGATCTGTCGAAGGCTCATATTCGGGTTTAGAGGGTTTAGAGGGTTATTAGGGTTTAGGGTTTCGTTGATTGTTGAGCTTGCAGGGTTTTAGCAGCCCGAGACGCCCATGCAGGTGCAAGGCTGCTTCAGCTGGAGCCTCCTGCGGCGTCGGGGGACGGTGGCTTGGCGACTTACGCCGGTGGCCACAAGGATCCTGGCGGACAACCTCCGCTCCTCGGACGCTGGGGTTTACGGTTTAGGCTGTTTAGGCTGTTCAGGCTGTTCAGGCTGTTTAGGCTGTTTAGGCTGTTTAGGCTGTTTAGGGTTTAGGGTTAGGGTGTAGGGTTTCGGGCTTAGGGTTTTGGGGGGTGGGGGGGGGGGGGGGGGGGTGTAGGTGGAGAATTCTAGTTTGGACTGTAGGTTGTCTAGTGTTCAGTGAGGAAGAGGGGGGGGGGGGCTTGACCTCTTTGAGGCATATTTGTTGCTTGCGGCCATGCTTCAAGCACATAAACCCTAACCCTGAACCCTGAACCAATCCGAAAACCCTAAACCCTAAACCCTAAACCCTAAACCCTAAACCCTAAACCCTAAACCCTAAACCCTAAACCCTAAACCCTAAACCCTAAACCCTAAACCCTAAACCCTAAACCCGATCTTGAGGCTCTTCGGGCCCCCGCAAAGCTGTGGAGAACACTCAGCGTCTCCGCCTGGTCTTAGAGAGCCTGGGCCCAGCTTTCATCAAGCTCCTTGGTGCCCAAATGGACCCTAAACTTGGGATCATGTACCCTATACTAAAATTCCCAATAAGGTACATCTACCGTATCCGACTATAATTCCCTTCAAGGTACATATACCCCACAACTACTTTATAATTCCCGTTTAGGGTATATGAACCCTAAACCCTATACTACTATAATTCCCAGAAAAGGTATATATGCCTTTTTACCACTCTCATTCCCCTTGAGGTACATGAACCCTAAGCCCTTTTCGGGTTACCGTATCCGACTATAATTCCCTTGAGGTACATATACCCTATACTACTATAATTCCCATTAAGGTATACCGACCCTAAACCCAATACTACTATAAGACCCATAAAAGGTATAGATGAACCATATCAGCCATTTTCGGGTTCATGTCGTCCCCGAGGCTCGGCCAGGCAGCCGCCTCGAGGGAGGACGTGCTCAGCGATCGCGTGGCCGCGGAGCTCCGGAAGCTCTGCGACCAGGCCCCCAAGGGTTTGGGTTTTAGGGTTTAGGGTTTAGGGTTTAGGGCTTAGGGTTTAGGGTTTAGGGGTTTTAGGGGTTTTAGGGTTTAGGGTTTAGGGTTTAGGGTTTAGGGCCACAAAGAGCCAAATATCCCTTAATTAGGGAATCTTGCTTAATTTATATAGGGATCCTTAATCGTATTGGGCTCTTTAGGTTCTGGCTTCCGAAGTTACAGGGGTGGTGCCTTTTTGGGGAACTTATTCTAGGGGAACCCTACCATATGGGGGCCCTTATTTTGAAAGGGAACCCTGCCGACTTGGGGTCCTTCTTCTAAAGGAACCTAAACCCTAAACCCTAAACCCTAAACCCTAAACCCTAAACCCTAAACCCTAAACCCTAAACCCTAAGCCAGGTCGCCCCCTTCCCGGACGACGAGGCAAGGCGCCTGGTGGCCGCCCAGCTGGGTTGCGGCGTTCGCCTGCCGCTTGGGCGCTGCGTGGCTGCTGCCAGCCTCGGCCAGGCTCGAAGCCCCCTAAACCCTAAACCCTAAACCCTAATTAAACCCTAAACCCTAAACCCTAAACCCTATCCCAAATGTAAAGGCGCCAAACAAGGATTTCTTAGAGGAGTGTGGCCAGGTCTACCGCATTGAGAAGGACGGCCGCCACTACGCGCTGAAGGTGCAGCGGCCGGGCCTGAATCGAGCTCTGGCCATGGATGTCGTGATCCTGTCCCTTGGCCATATCCCCCTTGGGGAATTACTTTTTGTTTATATGAAACCCAATAGGGATATAAAAACTACCATTTTTATTGAGGTTCTAAGGGGAGTATAGTGGCCAGGGGTCCTGAAGTGCGGGTTTTTCTTCCTGTCTTATTTTCTGGGCCTGCCCCTTAAACACTTTAAAGGCTTGCTAGTGCTGCCACCTAAATCTTCTGAAACCTCCACAACCTCACACCCTACAGCTGGCTGTACCCTAAACCCTGAACCCTGAACACCCTCAGCCCTCAACAGCTAGCCTAGGACCGGGAGTAGGCCCGTTTTTCTTTTTTAGGGTTGGGGTTCCCTTATAATCCCCTTAAAGCCAAAAAGGGTACCCTATTTTTTCCTAGGTTACTCCCGGTCTAGTAGCTCTCAAGGAAGGGCATCGCACGCTTCCTACGGCGCGTCATGCGCTGCTTCATGGCCGCTGCCGTGGACCCCGAGCAGGCCGTGGTAAACCCGGTAATGGTTGTCCTTAGCCTCAACCTCCGGGGTTTGCAGGCGACTAGTAGGGTTTAGGGTTTTGACTTTAGGTTTAGGGTTTAAGGTTTAGGGTTTGGGGTTTAGGGCGGGTACTCCGGCTGTCTCAGTTCAGCGAAGGAGTCTTATAGTGGTCAGGTCTGGAAGTGGGTGACCGTCACGCCCCAAGACGCCCGACGCTGCTTTGCGGGGGCCGGGTTTAGGGTTTAGGGTTTAAGGGGGGGAAGGGCTGCCCTGCAGGTAGTTGACGAGTGGGCCAAGACTCTTTGGGACGAGCTGCTGGGCTTCAACCCTGCCCCTAAACCCTAAACCCTAAACCCTAAAGCATCGGTGGGCTGCAAAGCCACGTTGGGGGTCAGGGTTTTGAAGGCTTCCGGAGATTTTTTTAAGGCATTGGCGACCCTTTGTCATATGAGGACTAGTCGGTTTGCCTTCGCACCATAGGTTTAGGGTTTAGGGTTTAGGGTTTAGGGTTTAGGGTTTAGGGTTTAGGGTTTAGGGTTTAGGGTGGGGGAGTGGAAGGTGCATAACCTCTTGTTGCCGAACTCCTGCCACTGGTTCCCTATTGGTTCCCTATTAGGGACGACCAGACAAATCGGCTTATGGACCCTGAGCGTCAGGTCCCCTTAAACCCTCAACCACTATTCAAACACTATAAGCCCTATAAACCTGTAAGCCCTACAAACCCTGTAAACCCCGACCCTATAAACACTGTACCCTAAGAACCCTAAACCCTAAGCACCCCACTCTGCGTTCTGAAGATTCACGGGACCGGGCCCCCCAAGTCATGAGGTGGACCCTAAGTTTTAGTGTCTTGGGCTTGGGGTTTAGGTGCGAAGCCCTTCCCCCTTCGGGGGTTCCCAGCCCTAAACCATCCTGCACACCCTAAGCTAGGCTGGGGGATGTGGAGTTTGAGCTTTAGAGTTTGGGCCTCGGGGGGTGCCTCTACGGACGTGCAACTAAGGCACTAGGCTTTAGGGCTGATAGTGGCTCTAAAGCCACTGCTTAGAGGGGTCAGCGCAGCAATCCTTGTCATGTGGTCTTTAGGTCGAAATCCAAAACCGTGTTGTGATCTAGAACGTCTAATCCCCAACCTGAAGCGCGAACCCCCAAACCTAACTCTGAGACCTTGAAGCCCTAGGTTTTCAATAAAATCCGGATTCCGGGAGCCCAGGTTAGACTACAAGCACGAGGGCAGAGCAATGGAGCAGATGCGTGCCGCACTCTGCGGAACCGTGGGCGGACGCTTGCCCGGCGGATGGCCAGTGTAGGATGAGTTCAGAGTTTTTGGGTTTGGGGGGGGGGGGTGTGGGGGGGAGCAACTCTAAACCCGAAACCCCTCAGCCCCGTGCCCCCTCAACCCAACTGATCACTGAGCATAGGTGGCATGGAACTAGCCAAGATCCCTGCTGAGCATGGGTTGCATGGAACTACACGAGGTCCCTAAACCTTCAGTCCTAGACCGAGGATTGGTGATCCCCCGCGTGCACTGGGAGCTCACGGCTCTCCGTGTGCTTGCGAGCGAGCACCTAGACCTCGGCGAGCTATGGGTTCTTCTTCTGCTGGCGGGTTTAGGGTGTCAAGGGTTTCAGGGCCCATAAGCCCTAAGCCCCTAAACCCTCAGCCGCTGAACGGGGGGAGGCCGAGCGATGGATGTGCGAAATCGTTAGATCCAGGCAAGTCAGCCCTCAGCCCTGAGCCCTCCTAGAGCCAGCCTGAGTCCCAGCCTGGGAGGGTTTAGGGTTTAGAGTTTAGGGTCTAGGGTCTCGGGTTTAGGGTTTAGGATTTAAAGTTGAGCGAAGGTTGTGCAAGGGCTAAAGGGAGTTCCTCGTCTAGCACACGATTCTCTTGGCTGCCATTACTTGAAAGCCAATTGGCAGCGTTCGTCGCAGAGCCCCGACTGTTCGTTTAGGCCTTGGGGCAAACGCATCCAAGGTGGGTGGACGGCTACAAGATCACGGAGGATGAGCTGTTTGTTCTGGGAGATTCTGTAATATACAGGGTCGAATAACTACTAAAACTTATAAGTGTACTAGAATAAACCCCCAACGCCCTGTTCTAATTATTAATTAAGGCCCCCATAGTAGGCCCGGAGGCGTCGAGGTTGGTGTAGCTTCCCAGAAAAAATGGGTTGTGCTTTGGGATAATTTGTCATTTCCCTTCTTCCCTTATAGGGGGGGGCGTATTCATAAATAATTTTCAAAGGGTTAAAGCACAACCCAGAAAACACCCAGCAGGAGAGATCTCAGAAAAGGGTGCCAAGAGCCGAGATTCCTCTAAAGAAGCCCTAAGCACTCTGAAGAGAGGGAAGAGAAGCTCCCGAGTCCCCTTGTGTGTAGGGTTTGGGGTTTGGGGTTTAGGGTCTAGGGTCTGGGGTCTAGGGTCTAGGGTTTAGGGTTTAGGTTTTAGGGTTTAGGGTTCAGGGGCCCTAAAAACCCTCTGACCCTGCGGAGAACCCCCGACGCGTGACGCAGCGTCACATCTCCATCGGCGTGGAGGCAGTGGCCGCTATGATCCTGGAGGCGTTCCGAGTCCAGACCCGGCCCTCTGTTTGGTGTTTTCGGGGATAGGGTTTGATGGGTTGAGGGCTTAAAGCTAAGGGTTGAGGGTCTGATGGGTTTTTTGGGTTTTTAGCATTCAGGGTTGGGGCTTGCATGGGAAGCCCTAAACCGCCTGAGCCCTCATCTCGAAACTCCAAAAGCCCTAGACCCCTGATCTCTAAACCTCAAACTCCGAACCCTAGACCGCAGGTAGGCGTGGTCCACGCAGACCCACACCCGGGCAACATCATCCTTACGCCGGAGGCCACGAATGCCGAAACCGAAGCCGAACAACGGCGTTGCCTTCAGGGCTTCGGGGGTTTTCAAGGCTCCCTTGATGCATGCAAGTACTAGGACCCGGGTACTCGAACCCGGAGTAGGCCCTTATGTCCTTTTTTAGGGTTGGGGTTCCCTTACAAATCCCCGTTGTATTCCTAGGTTGCTCCTGGGTCTAGAGGATGATGACATGCCCCTACCGTGCCCGATAAAGCCGCTCGGAACGCCCTCCACAACGGAGGACGACGTTTGCCTGCTCGACTTTGGTATGGTCTGCCTGGTGCCCCCAAACCACCGAAAGGTGTGGGCCAAGTGTGTGGTGGCTCCTCGTCTTGGAGGGCTGGGTGGGGGGGGAGGGGTTGAGGAAGGCTCAGAGCTCATCTGGCATGCGATGTAGCTTTTGGCTTGGGGTTCTGAGGGGTTGAGGGGCTTGACGTCTTGGGGGGTTTAAATGGGGTCAACTGGACTTATGTAGGGACCCCTATTATAGCGCCAACCCTAAACCCTAAACCCTAAACCCTATGATAGAACATCGAAAGAAGGACCTGGTCCGTCGAGACCACGGAGCTGTGCTGGATGACCTGATTGAAATCGGCTTCTTCCCCCGCGAGTGCCCGCGGGAGGACATGCTGCCGGTCCTGTTCCCCGGCCTAACCACAAGGTGAAGTTATCTTCCACTTCGCAAGCCGTGTAAGCAAGAACCCTAAAACCTTAAACCCTAAAGATGATCATCGTGTCATTATGTATTTCATGGCCCCCCAGGGTTGCATACTGTTGCATACACTGCTCAACGGCCCTGACAGCGGCGCAGACCTAAAAAGGCCACAAGTTCACCGCATGAGGTCCAAGATTTGGGATCAGCTTGTCGAGTGCGGCAGCGACATCAACAAACGGAAGAGCGCCGTGCCTCGGCAGCCCAGTGGTACCCTTTAATTACCTTTTTTTGAGGGGGGTGGGGGGGGGGGGGGGGGTTCTAGAATAACCAACCCAAAAAAAGGGTGCCCTTATTGTATTATGGTTTAATTAGAGGGCTACCAAGGTGCAGCTGCTGTACTCAGAGATTCTCACGCTGGTCCGGCGCTTCGAGTTCTCACTCCCGGACAGCTGCTGAAAAACCTGCAAGGCGTGCGTGAGGCAACTCTACCCGATGCGTAGCTCAGAAGGAGTAGCTGAGTAGCAAATAAACAAAAGGAATACGACGAAGAATCGCAAGGAGCTAGGACGATAAGCAGAAAAGATGATAGAAGGCACGTTCCTGGAATGATTGTGGCAGCCCCCCTTGGAAGTTGTGATAATTGATTCTCAAAGCTTCAAATGACGGTTATACTGGTTAATAGTTGTTTGGGCATGTAGAACATGTCAGGGTTCCTTATAAACTCAACCCCCCCCCCCCCCTCCAACCCCACCAGGCCCCCTGAAAGCAGGCCCTAAGCCCTGAACCTGAACCCTGAACTGGAAGGCCTCCCCCCCTGAAGCCCTACACCCTGAACCCCAAGCCCTAAACCCTGAACCCTAAACCCCGAACCCCAAACCCTAAACCCTAAACCCTTGTCAGGACTACTACGTGGCCCTGGTGAGAGCGCTGCTGACCCTGGAGGGCATGGCCCTGGCTGCGGACTGCGACTTCGACATCTTCGAGGCCGGGGTTTAGGGTTTAGGGTTTAGGGTTTAGGGTTTAGGGTTTAGGGTTTAGGGTTTAGGGTTTACAGTTAGGGTTTAGGGTTTAGGGTTTAGGGTTTAGGGTTTAGGGTTTAGGGTTTAGGGTTTAGGGTTTAGGGTTGGGGGCTTGTAGGACTTGTAGGGCTTTAGGGTTTGTAGTGTTGAGGGTTTAGAGGGTTCTGGGCTTGGGACTTGTAGGGTTGAGGGTTTAGAGGGTTCAGCGCCTGGGGCTTGTCGGGTGTGTAGGGTTGAGGGTTTAGGCGGTTTAGAGGGCTGAGGGTTTTTAGGGTTGAGGGCTTGGGGTTTTAGGGTTGCGGGCTTAGCTTTTTTTTTTTGGGGGGGGGGGTTAGACTTTAGGGCGTTCAGGGTGTGGCGGTGGGCTAGTTTCGGGAGGTTTCGAAAGAACGGCGCTGGTTTGCGGGAGGAGTGGGGGCTGTTTTTGAGGTTGAGAGGGTTTACCGTGTTTTTGATGCTTTCGCTTCAGCTTTCAAGGCTTTGGAGTCCGTGGGCTCCTGGCTTCAGGTTTTAGGGTTTTGGGTTTAGGGTTTAGGGGTTTAATTAGTTGACCGCCTGCGTTCGGATTCGGGCATGCAAGGTTGCAGCGTTGATCCTTGAACTTAACACTGTCAACGCCCGAATGTCTTTGTGCATGAGCTCTTCGTTTGCAGGATGCCTTTGCAAATCCGAACCCTTGAGCTCAACTGGTCGTTGCCTCGAGCACCCCTTTGTTTCAGTCTCCCAATGCCCCAACGACCTCCACCCGGAACCCGAGAACCCTAAACCCTGAAAGCTTGTCAGGCGTTCCCCTCCAAAATCCTTATACACCCCAACCACAACTGCACCAAACCCTAAACCCTAAACCCTAAACCCTAAACCCTAAACCCTAAACCCTAAACCCTAAACCCTCCTGAACTCTACCCTAAGCCATTGTAGGCAGCGTTTCCCGCCTGCGTGCGGTATCTCACTCGCAGCCGCGGCCCGCAGGCTGGGACATGTCAGTCATAGAAGACAGCAGGGTTTAGGGTTTAGGGTTTAGGGTTTAGGGTTTAGGGTTTAGGGTTTAGGGTTTAGGGTTTAGGGGAGCAACTACTAGTTGCTAGGATGCCCAGTAGTACCCTTATTCCCTTTTTGCGGGGTTTAGGTTCTCTTATAAACCCCTTTTAAGCAAAAAAGGGCACCCTTTTTAAGCCTGGGTTACTGGGCAGCCTACTATGTGCTTAAGAAAAGGATAGAGAAGAACAAATAATAATCCCCATATTGCCCTTATAAGGAAGAATGTTTTTGTTTTTGCGAGTCTTAAGCAACTAGTAGATAAACCTTATAACCGTATGTGCATATATATAGAAAGAGAGAGAGAGAGAGAGAGTAAAATGTAAGTATAATATCCTATTCATAAAACGAATATATACCTCTGCCCTGCAGCAGTGCGACGATTTATCTATGTCTATACCGTCCATATCTATACCTATATCCATATCTATATCTATATCTATATCTATACCTATAATATCTATATTTATATCGATATCAATATCTATGTCGATGTCGATGTCGATATCTATATCTATATCTATGTAACTAAACAAATGAATAAAAAATGTACATATATATATATATGTATGCAATCCGAGCACCTGTTTAATTAATACCCCCCTCCCCCCCCCCCCCCCCCCCCCCCCACATTTAAAGAAACTTTTTTCGTCGAGAAGCCCGCCGGAAGACTGCTTTCCATTACGGGGGTTTTCGTATGGGCCAATACCAGCACATTTAACGAATTTTTGTTTCTAGAAGCTGAGGCCCTTCAGAAAGCTTGGATTTCTTATGTGATTGCTTACTGGAGGAGAGACGTTTTCATTCTTTCCTGAGCTACACCTTATGGGCTCTGCCCGGCAAAGACAGCATCACATTTATAAAAAGGGACCACAATTATTGGAGGCCCTGGGGGGGAGCCCTACCGTTTTCAATACATTCCTACTGTTTTTAATAAAGAATCCATACATTGCCATGGTCTTATTATTGCGGCGCCCTGCCTTTCTTATTGCGGTGGGGGGGGGGGGGATTAAACATGTGCTCGGTTTATGTGTAATAGGCTGTACTACAAGCTCCTGAGGGTTCAGGGTGTTAAGTGTCTAAAATATGGGGGAAGTCTGAGGAGGGGCCTGGGAGTTTGAATGAAGTAGGGGTCCTCATACAGCCATGAGGCCTTGGAAAGCCATGATTTGAGCTGAAGTCCTGAAGATGTGAATGGTTTAGGGTTTAGGGTTTTTAGGGTTTAGGGTTTAAGGTTTAGGCCCAAGTTAAACCCTACCAAGTCCGCAGTTACAAATCTTTGCTGTAATGCCAAAAGACAAGAATGAGAGGCAACCTCAACAGCATCCAGCCAAGCAACGAAGCCCACTGCGCCTCGCAAAGCCACACAACTCTGGACCAGGAGGATCCAGCCGCCCAACACCCTGAACCTCAAACCCTAAACCCTGAACCCTTGAAGCCCCTGAGCCCTGAACCCCAGAAGCCCCTACGAAGTCTAGAAGCCCTAAACCCTGAACCCTTAAACCCTAAACCCGTAAACTTGAACCGGAACCCGAGAAGGCCCTGAAGAGAAGCCCCATAGGTGGACGTCTTCAGCTCCTCTGTGCTCAGCGTCCTTCAGCCCCTTCGGCCCGGATGTATTATTATTACTCTTATTATTATTAGTATTATTATATTACTATTATTATCATTAGTATTATTATTACTATTATTATTAGTATTATTATTACTATTATTATTGTTATTATTATTGTCATCATGATTATTAGTATGTCTTTTCATGTTGATTATAGTTGTGGTTCTTATTTGTTGTTGTTATTCTTATTGTTGTTGTAAGGGAATCCTACTATTTGGGGGTCGATATTAGGTGTCCCTTCTTTTGGGAAACCCGCGTGTTGTGCCGGCGAGACTCCTAGGGCCCAGAGGAAAAAGCTCTTATTCCCTTTTGTGGGGGGTTTAGGTTCCCTTACAAGCCCCTTGAAACCAAAAAGGGCACCCTTTTTATTCCTATCCTGGGTCCAGACTCTGATTTTCCTAAGCAAGCCGGATACATGATCCCTAAGGACCCTACACCCGTCTGCCCCTTTCCTCAGCAAAACTTCAGAACTGACCCCAAAGACGACCCACAAGCACCCAAAGCCCGCTTGGTTGTCCGAGCTAGGAACAAGACCCTTGCAAAGCTTGCCTTGCGCTCGGCTGGGTGCTTGCAGATGGACCGCCGGAAGGTTGCGCGCCAAGGCTGCAATGTCCCCTGAAGCCTCAGAAAGATGCAGCCCTAAGCGGTTTAGGGTTTAGGGTTAAACTGGCCCGGTCAAACAAGACGAACCTGGGTCGTCAAGGTAGGACTGTCGATATGACGAGGTGCACTCCAATAATCCTTATGGGTTATCATGACTACCGCTACTAATTGCCATGAGTACAAGATTATAGTTCTTATCACCATTCATGGTTAGTATTAACTTATTGATATTTGTATTGGTAGTGAGACTCTTTTTGTGTTGGGGGGGGTCAATCTCAGTCAAGCCCACACTCAGTGCAAGTGGCAAGTGGCGAAGTGCTGTCTGAGGTGCGTGGGGCTTTTTGGGATGTCACTGGTTTCCCTCTACTTGGCTTCTCTGCGCCAGGGCTAATGCAGAGCTTTTCTTGACGGGGGGCCGCTAGGTTGAAGAAGCCCGATGTTATCCCTGCCGCCCCCAAAATACAACATCGCCCCTGTTATTTTGAGAATACCTACAGGCCCCCATTAGGACCGTGAGGGGGAGGGGGGGGCGGGGGAGACGCATCAGTGTTGCTGTGTAGAAGGCCCCCTTATTTTCCGATAGCGGGTCTGCGGGGGCTGGTGCTAAAGGAACGCGCCAGGAGCCCCGCAGGATCTGCAGTCGACTCCTTTCAGAGCTGCCCCTGATAGAACGGTGGGGCCATTTTCGGCTGAATTCGCCAGTTCACCCTTGTGCGACTTTTGTAAGCAGTCTGGCCGAACGTCGCAAGAATCTGTCTGTGGAAGCCCTCTGCAACGTAGAGGACTGCACCAATCAAGCTCGACCCCGAGTGCCCAAAACAAAAAGAAAAACACGAGAGCAGCAGCAAGGCGCGATCCAACCCACTTTCTGCGCACTTCTGGCCCCCAAGGGTGTTTAGGTTGCGGGATGTCTTCCAGCGGCACTTGCGCCACTTGAAGATATCGCAGGTCTCGTCTCTGATTACAATCCGCACCCTCGACTTGGTCAACTTATGCCTTGAGGCCCCTCACCTACTATTTGCTTAAGAACCCCAAAAGAATAATAAAAAAAAACAACAATCCCTATGTTACCCTTAAGAAGGAAGAATGTTCTTTTTCGGGGTTCTTAAGCAATTAGTAGTGGCCTTACCCCCCACACCCCCTGGACCGGTGCTGTTAGCCTCGGGCTCAGAGCAGATATGGAAGCAACGAAGGGGAACGTGACAGCACAACCTTCACATTTGTGTGCCTTCCGCCGTCGCAGGCCTTCATACCCTACTCCAAGACCATGAAGAAAGCAGCACCGACACCTTAAGCCAAATGCCGATCCCAGGCAGCCAGGAATCCTCAAGACCTGATCCGGCAGCGAGCCTGAAGCAAGATCCTAACACGTCTAGCCGTCTAACCGGTCTAACCCTTAAACATCCCAAACCCTAACCAACAACCCGGCAAGCCTCACGCCTGAAAAGCGCCGCCGACCGCGGGAGCGTCTGGGCCGCATCCGGCGGGATGGGATTTCGCATATACATAAGGCCAATATGTCTACTGTTCTCATGGTTACAGGTATAGAGGGGCGGGATCTTGCGCAGACATGCAGTGCAAAAAGTCTCCAAACCTGAACCATGGACCTCAGGGGTCCCTAACCCTAAACCCTAAACCCTAAACCCTAAACCCTAAACCCTCAACCCTAAACCCTAAACCCTAAAAACCCTTAAGGTACACCCTGCAACAGCCGAGGGTGGACCCTGTGGGGTGTTGCTCTCTTGGCAGTTTGGGCTTAGGGTTTAGGATTCTAAGTTCCTTAGCGACAACAAGCAAGACCTGCTTCCCAGCAGCTTCAGCTACAAACCTCGAGATTTGAAAGCTCGACCTGGTTACGACGGCCCCTAACTCCAAATGGCTCTTGCCTCTACCTAAAATACCTAAAGAAGCAGGCTTGGAAGCCGCAACACTGCCGGGAGGATTCACCATACGGGCTCCTGTTTGACTCCCCAATAGTAGGACAGGGTCATTGGGGGGGTTTTTGTACAGGGGTCGGAATATTTACCAGTATTCCCTGATGGTCGCTTTGTAACTATACCATAATAACCCCCCCCCCCCCCCAGAACCCTATTCTAACTATTCAAGCCCCTATATTACCTTCATGGCATAGTTTGGACTTGGGGATGTGTGGAATTTGCCCCAGGGCCTGTACAGCCATGCGGTCATCCTGGTGGCAGGCCGGGACAGGGTGCAGGCTGTATCGGGTTATGGGTACTTGTACCACTTACTAAACCCTAAACCCCAAACCCTAAACCCTAAACCCTGAACCTCTAGGCCTGGGGGACGACGTTTGAGGCTGAGCAGGGGCTGACGTACCACGTCTTGCCGACCCTCGACCCCTAAACCCCATTCTTGGCAGCCCAGTGAACTCTTCACCCTTGTTGGTTCTGGTTTCTCTTACGGAATAACCAGCCCAAAAAGGGTGCCCTTCTTTTCATATAGTTACTGGGCTACCAAGTATTCTCTGAAATAATTCTTTTGTGAAGATTTATTGGGCTCCCTGGGTACTCCCCTGAATGTTGTAAAAGGTACTGCCTCTTCTGGCCGTGTCGGAAGATGCGTCGCAGCAGATCACCCAGCTGCACGGGCGCCTGGATGCCCGTTCCTGAAACCCTGCAGCCCTAGAGCCTTAGGACCCTACAGCTGTAAAGCCCTAAACCCTGAGCCCCCAAGAACCCTAGTTACGGCCCCATAACCTTGAGAAGGGATTAGTGTTAGGCCTACAGCGTTTTCAGCATCAAGGTTGAAGCTACACCTGTATACTGTAGGTCTCAAAAACAGATTACAAACTTAAGAAGTTTCTTTGGTCTTTGTTGCAACGCGGAAACCTGTTAGGGCTTAGGGCTGTAGGGACCTCCTGCGAGTGAGTTGGGGCTGGAGGGTGGGCATTTCCGGATCCACGATTTTTCCAATCTTGCAAAACCTATGCAGTACGCCCAGTAGTGCTTACTGGACTGGGATCGCTTTTAAACCTCGGTAAACGTGATAGGGTCACCGGGGAACTCAGGAATCCTCAAACGCGCCCTAACGACCTTAGAAGCCTTGAATCCCAACTTCCTCACACCCCAAGGCCCTCTTCGGGTGAGAGTTCCCAAAACCCCCTCATATTGCCATCACTACGACGAACCCTTGAACCCTGAGCTCGAACCAAGGCTGCACATACCAAGCCCCGAAGCCACATTCTCACCAACCCTGATCCCTGACGCCTTCCCAACAAAAAAGGCCTACCTGCAAGCTCCGTAGTTTTTGTGGGGAGGGGCGGCTTCAATCCATCTACCTCGGGCACCCCAAAAAATTGACGCCAATCCGGAAAAAGTGCAGAGCAATGTCCATGGTGGCTTTAAGGCAATCAGCCCTGGTGAGGCGAAACCCCAAACCCTAAGCCATCGGCCCAAAACCCTGACCCCCCGACCCCCAAACCTTAATCACTAAGCTTTGTTGGTATAAGGGGGAACATCCCAAACTAAGCCATAAACCCTTCTGCACCTCAAAACAAAACACCTTACATATAGGGACTACATAACCCCCGGTTATAATCCCGATTAAGGAGCTGTTAGTATAAGGGGGAACAGCCCAACACTAAACTCGCCACCGGAGAGCTCCCAATCGAGGCCCTGGAGCCCAGAGCCACCAAGGCCGTCGCCCGGGTTTCGGGCAGTAGGGGTTTAGGGGTTCAAGGGTTTAGGGCTTTAGGGCTTTAGGGCTTTAGGGCTTTAGGGCTTTAGGGCTTTAGGGCTTTAGTGCTTTAGGGTTCAGGGCGTAGTCCCTGCCTGACCCTGAACCTCTCAGTGCTCGGGGTTCAGCAGCTAGTTCTAGGGTGTCTTTGGTTTTGAGGCAGCACCGGGCCGCGGTTCAAAAGGCCTCTGTACAGCTCACGGACGTACCCGGGGCCAGCAAAAGAAAGAATGTTTCATAGTAGGGAATCAGGGACCCACCTACTAGAATAGAACTCCTTTGCAGCTCTATATGGGGAAGAACTAGGAAGTATAACCCCTATACAAGAGCCCCTCCTCCCGGCCCTGAGCCAAGAGAACCCCAACACCCCCCAAGAAAAAGTCGGGGCAGGTACCGGGTTCCGGTGGCGAGCAAGATGACACCAGAGACGGTGTGCGGCCGTCGCAGTTTGCGTCCGCAGAAACGCGGACCAGTCTTGAGACTCTTCTTCGCCCAGTAAACAGCAAACAGGGGTAGGTTGGAACATTTTTCTAAATTGTGCTGCCCTATAACGTACTCTGAAGCCGAAAAAATGTGTTTTTTTCGGGCCCCCAAGACCACCCCAGAAATGGTCAACTTGAATACGAGCCCTCGGGTCAAAAACCCTCAGGCCTAGACCCTTCAAGCCTTACAAGTCTAAGCACGATGTTTCCTTGCCAACGTCAATGGAACAAAAAATAAATGCCAATTTCATCTTGGTTGACATTCACTTGCTGATCAAACAGTTCCAGCTTTAGCTATTTTCACATTTCTGTTTTTGTAGTATCCGTCATTGTGACTCCAACTCCTCGATGGTTACAGTCAACTATGGGAGAAATTCGGCTCTTTGGTCTTATTACCTTGAGATTGGTGTTCGTGTTAGTGTGATGATCTGCTACTAATGATTAACCTGTATTTCACGATATCAAGGCCCCAAGTGGGCCCGCAGGAGCCATAAACCCGAAACCCGAAACCCCAAACCCTAAACCCTAAACCCTAAACCCTAACCCTAAACCCGAGAATAAGGCTAACTACAACTAGATGGGTGAAATTACAACCAGATGGGTAAAACTACAACTGAAATCTTGAAAACTGAGCTTCGATCTGAAGGATGTACCATAGGTTTTCTGAAGGGTTGTGTTTTCTCCTGTTTGGTTGTGTTTCGACCCGGTCGCAACCCTAAACCCTAACCCCCTTAAGGGTGTAGGGCACTAATCCCTGCCATCCGCCGCCAGGTCCCTCTACAAAGAATTTGCGGCCGCCGGGGTCTCTGGAGCTCGTCGAACTTGAATCTCAGAGGCTCCCTACACCCCCGAAACAAGGGTTTAGGGTTTAGGTTTAGGGTTTAGGGTTTAGGGGTTAGGGGTTAGGGTTTAGGGTTTAGGGTTTAGGGTTCACGCTCCTAAAACCCAAACCCCTAAGAAGGCAGGGCCCCGGAGGCTCCCTCGACCCCTGAACCTTCAACCCCAAAGAAAGCAGGGCCCCGCAGCCCTGCAACCCCTTTAAACCCCCCCCAAACCCCCCCCTGCCCCCCAAGTGTAAAATCCCAGTATAGTTCTATTATAGTATATGGGGGGGGTCTTAATATTAGGGGGCAGGGGTGGTTTGATAGTGGGGGGGGGGGGGGGCTACACCCTTAGGAGGCTAAGCCCTAAACCCGGAAGCATTTTCCAAAATAGGCGTCCCTTTACCCCCCAAAAAGGGTTACCCCTATTTTCGGAAACCCCCATGTAAACCCTAAACCCTAAACCCTAAACCCTAAACCCTAAACACACCCAAACCCTAAACACCCTAAACCGAAGCCCCGTTTAGGGCAGCTCGGGGGTTCCCCAAGGTCGACGTCGACGTGGGCGACACGTTTCTGCAGAGGCTGACGTCGCCGACCGAAGGTGCTTCTTGGTGCCATTTTTTTTTTCTGGGTTAGGGTTTGTGGTTTTGGGGGGTTTAGGGCCTTGTGCCGCTTAGCCGCCGCTTGTGTCGGGGAGGAGAGGGGGCTGAGCTGATGGGCCTTTCGCGCTCGCAAAGGCCATGATGTTCACAAGTCGTTTTCAAAACCCTACACCCTAAACCCTAAACCCTAAACCCTAAACTTGAATCGTGGGCGCAACTTTTGGGCTTCAGGGCTTCAGGGTCCTGGGCCGTGTCTCACCGGAGGCAACACCAAGTGGACCGTCGTAGAGATCTACGACTACACCTGCTTGATGGCCCAGTGGTGCCCTTTAATTACCCCTTTTTGTTGGGTTCTGGTTTCCCTTCTGAAACGGCCAGCCCAAAAAGGGGTGCCCTTATTCTTAGAGTATGGTTACAGGGCTACTATGCCTGTTGAGGGCTCAGTTGTTTTTTTTTCTCCGGAAGTGTCTGACAGTGAGGATCCTTTTCATATCAAGGGAAAGGGCCCATGCAGAAGAAGTACCCCAAAGAAGGCGACCCGAATGTAGGGACTTAATAATTAGAACAGGGTTTTGTGGGTTATTATAGCATATTCATAAAGGGACCATAAGGGAATACGATTAGTAGTTATTCCGACCCTATATTACCAAGTTCAAGGCCTCCAACCGCCCCTGTTGAGTTTTTTTTTTTTTTTTTTTTTTTGGGGGGGGGGGGGGGGGGGGCGGGGTCGGTGTTTTTTTGCGTTTTTGGGGCTTTGCTGCCCTACTGAGTTTTCTTAGGTTTGTCAAGCTCCTTTGCTTTAGGTCATACGGTTGTTATTTATATTTATATTTTTGGAGGGGGGGGAGGAGAGGGGGGGGGTTAGGTGAATGTGATGTTCTTGTGAATTTCTGTGGGTGGTTGTAAGGTTGTTTGGGGATTTGCTTTCCTTCTGTTTGTGTCGGTCACAAGAGCTTTGGGAGCTGCGGTTTGGGTTTTACAAGGGCTGGAGGTTAAGGGCTCAGGGCCTAGGGTTGTAGGGTTTAAGGTTCAAGGTCGAGGGTCTACAGGGTTGGGTTGTGATGTTCCCCCTTATACGAACAGTCCTCACTAGGGATTATAGTAGATTATAGTAACCCCTAGAATCCACATGAAGGGCTGTCAGTATAAGGGGGAACATCCCAAGGGTTGGAGACTAGGGCTCACAGAGTTTAGGGTTTCATGGGCCTGAAGAGGGATTCATGCGGCCTCTTGGCTTGCAGGCTTCAGGGCTATCTGCCCTAAGAACCTGAAAACCCTAAACTCCAAGCCCTTAACCCCCAACCCTAAACCCCAAACCCCAAACCCTATATTCTGTGCAAACCCTAAACCCCAAACCCTAAACCCTAAACCCCAAACCCTAAACCCTAAACCCTACTTCGCGGGTTGTTCGTGTGGGTTTGGCCGAGGTCCACATTGCTGGTACGCTGCCGGGACCCGCAGTTTTCATCCGGCTCGAGGTTCATCGGGTTTAGAGTTTAGGGTTTAGGGGTTAGGGGTTAGGGGTTTATAGGGGTTTAGGTGCTTGTAGGGGTTTAGGGTTGTTTAGGGGTTTATCGGGGTTTATAGCGGCTTATCGGGGCTTATCGGGGTTTTAGGGTTTAGGGTTTTTGGGGGCGTAAATTGAGTTAGAAGGAGACCATCTTGCTTGGTAAGTCTCATAGCAGCAACAAGATTTGGGCTCCTTAGCAGATGTTTTTAGCTATTGAGGCTTTTGTTTTTATAGGTTTCAGGCCTCATCTGTATCTGGGCTTAGGGTTCGCGCATGGGTATCTCCCAAAAGAGGGTACCGCTTGTATACCCACATGGAATTCGAATCACCTGAAGACCCACCAAGAAGGGTACCCTCTAGAGTGTTCCCCTTACACCATCAATCCTTCATAGGGATCAGAGTACCCCCTATGATAATCCCTATTAAAAGGACTGTCAGTATAAGGGGCCTCCCAAAAAGGCTACACCCTAAACCCTAAACCAAAAACCTTAAACCCTAAACCCTAAACATCGGTGGCCACATGGTCACATGTGCCATGGCCTCCGCTTTCCTTTTAAACTGGATGGCTCAAGACGGTTCCTAATTTCTACTATCTGCAGAAGAACCCCAACAATAAATCCCTCTTTTATATTGCCCTCATCAGGAAGAGCATTTTTTGGTGTGTTTCTTAAGCAAATAGTAGATTCAGGGGCTTAGGGGTTTGAAGGTTGAAAGGTTTAGGGTTTAAGGGGCTCCCTAGGCGCATGCGAACTACATGTTCTTCCGCACTTGCCAGAGAAGCGGTCTTGAGGGCTTGCGGCCGGATCCTTTCTGAGGTTCCAGTCTACACGCACGTAGCGGAAGCGTGCCCTGAGCCATGCTGGGGCACGACTCACACCTTTAGCTTAGGGGTTTGGGGTTTGGGGTTTTGGGGTTTAGGGTTTAGGATTTAGGGTTTAGGGTAGGGACTGGACTTTGAAGGTCCAGGATTTGTAGGGGTGAAGGGGGGGGGGATCTTGGAATTCTTGTTGCCGGATGGCTTCCTCCGAAGCCCGAAACCTTGGTAGCCCAGTGATGCCCATTCCCCCTATAAAGTAACCAACTTGGGATGTTCAGGCCTTTGTAGGGATTATTATTGGGGGTACGGCACCCTTGTCATAAGAAGGGCTACTGGACTACCAGGAAGCCTCAATGGCGTTGGGATCCCGAAATTTTCTGCAGGTCCAAATGCAAAAAGAAGAAACCCAATTTAAGTGGCAACGATAGAAAAAACATATATATATATATACATACATACATATAATCATAACAACTACACTAATGAAGACTGAAGAGAATCATAGTAATAATCTTCACAGTATCGAGCTGCCGAACTAGCTCCCAGACACTAGCAGGGCCTGTGCTTCAGACGTCTGCTCAGCTTACCAGAGGCCCGCGCGCCTTCTGTGCACGCAAGGTACGCACACAGCCCGAACATCCAGTTCACCTCCATCAACTGCCACATGAGCTACAACATGGAGGCCGGGCCCCCTAACCCATTCCTTGCTACCTCATGTCATCAGCCAAACCCTAAACCCATCAATCTTGAAGTTCAGAGAACTCCCTTGTAGAGCGTACACACACACACTTTCAAAACTAACTAACTACTGAGTATATTTTTTTACTTGAGAATGCGCTTTTGGATGAGAGGAGGTTCTGGAGGACTTCCCGTCTCTGGGGTAGCTTTGGAACGTAAATTTTTTCCATCCCAATATATTCGGCTCACTGTAGTTCGCGGTACACTGCGGAGGCGAAGGTTGAAGTTTGAGGGAACCTAGAGAAACTGAGCCCTAAACCCTAAACCCTAAACCCAGTGGAACCATGAACTTCCAAAGTCACCACATGACTCTCTGGGTGGGGTCGTGGAAGCTTGAATTGGACATAGCCCCCAACCAACCTCAACCCTCGGCAGGCCCTTGGGACATCTGATATGTTCCCCTAATGGGTTTAAGAGGGTCATGTTCAGGAATATCCCTAAACCCTTTCCCCTAAAGGCCCTAAACCCTAAACCCTAAACCCTAGACGGGGTGTTTAAGGGCCATCCTAGCCTTTCTCCTTTTCCCCTTATGGTGCCTTTGCAATCCTAGTACAGGAGCCCCCAAAACCTATTCTAATCATTCAGGCCTTAGAATTAGGCTCGGAATTGAATTGAGACTGCGTAGACCAAAGCCCGCGGCGCACGGTTTCCCACCCAGACCGGCCCCCTTGCGAGCAGGTTTGCTTCCTGCTCGAGACCATTGGGCGGGTAAAGGACAGAAAGTTTACTTGGAGGTACTTATAACCCAAATATAACCCTACTAGGGTACTTAAGGGGCTTATAAAAGTGGGTTCTAACTACACTTATAACTGGGTGATAAATACCCTGAACCTCCAAGTACATAAGGTTCAAGGATTTGGCGCTTTAGGCGTTTTGGGGTTGAGGGCCAGGGCCCAAAGCCTAGGGTTTAGGGTTTAGGGTTTAGGGTTGCACATCGCAAAAGATCCAGCGTGAGAGAGTCATGTAGCGAGGCCTGCATGAGCATAGCCATGTCGGGCTTCCGAAGCACTTGCCGGAGAGGCGTTTGCGAAGTTTAGGAATCAGAAAAACCCTAGAACCCGAAACCCTAGGCCCTAAACCCTAAACCCTAAACCCTAAGCCCTAAACCCTAAACCCTCTACCCTAAACCCTTAACCTGGGCCTTGGTTCGTCTTACCCACGGACTCACTGTACGGTTGCTATCATCCTGTTCATGCCCATTAGTAATATTCGTACGGGCTTATAGGATTACAAGCGCAATGAAGGTATGAATACGCGCGTGAGTCATATTACAAGCCCGTAACAATATTATTATGGGGCCCTTTCTCTCACTCACTGCACGAAATGTTATTATTCACGCGCTAGCTTGTAATAATAATACTATTCGTGACGTGAAGAAAGAAAGAAAGGAGAACGTGATGATAATATACTTCGAAGAGAGTTACATTATAAGGCTTTGTAATGAAAACAATGAAGCACGAAAGCCGAAATGATATAATGAACGCAGTGAACAAGAATACAAAAAGGGCATACAATTTTAGAATTAAATTATAAGGACACTTCCGGCTACGAAGATGCCATAGGTGCTTCTCCGTTTATTTGTGAAAGTTCGGTTCCCTTGTAGGCCACCAGGAGGGTTTAGGGTTTAAGGTTTAGGGCTTAGGGTTTAGGGTTTATAGGGTTTAGGGTTTAGGGAGGGCTTGTTGTTAACCTGACCTGGTTTTGGACATGTTTTGGGGAGCTCGAAGAATCTAGTGCCTGCATCTCAAAGAAGAGTTGCAACCTCATACATGCGCTCTGGTGCCGGGTTGAGGACTGTAGGGTTTCAAGAATTCAGCGTGTAACCCGGGGAACTACGGATTCCTTGGACCCCTCACCGTGACCCGTATGCTGAAGCCCTAATCTCAATGCTGCACCGAACTCGCCACAGGATTTTCCAACATTTTTGGCTTGCCCGCCCCATGGCACGGTTCTCCGACATGGTTTAGGGTTTAGGGCTTAGGGTTTAGGGTTTAGGGTTTCAAGGGCGGGGGGGGGGGGGGGTTAGGCTCGCGGGTTCAGGGCCGCCAGTTGGAGGAATTTCAGCTTCCCCTGTTACGCACACATGCCGTTTTGTGAGCAGATTCCGTTTCGAAAAAGGCTCCCGAAGTGTTAGAAGGGCTACCAGCCAAGGATGGCCTAGTCGAGGGAGTTTCAGGGCCACTCCACGACAACCAAACCACCAGAATATTTCATGAGTTAAGAGGATCTGCAACATGTGCCCTCATATTTCTCAAATAAAGCAATCCTAAGAGACAGCAGGTTCTAGGTTTCCAAGTGCCATGAAGATATCTGAGTTCTCTAGACTAGGGTCCCTTTTTGGGGTCCTCTTCAATGGTGCCGCATTCTACAGGGGACTTCAGGGATTGCAGGCTTAGGGTTCAAGCAGAAGCCGTTGGAGTTGGTTCTTGTGTGCTCATGCGCTTCGGGTTCAGCAGTCGGCTTGCCTCCACGTAGGTTTAGGGTTTAAGGGTTTAGGGTTTAGGGTTTAGGGATATCCGACCCCTGTCAAAATGCAGGATCTCTCAGATTCAATGTGCATGCTCTCCACGGCAGGTAGACACAGAGGTCGAGCTGAAGCATAGCCACGCGGCCCGATCCCCAGTACACGCAGCATCGGGATTTGAGGGCTTCGGCGTGTGTAGGGTTCCGGGGTTTTTCATCCAGCAAATCCTGCCTGACCTGGAGCGCACAGAACTTCTAGGGTTCTTAGAAACCGGCAAGACGTAGGCTTGGGGGTTCTTTGAAGGTAAACTTCAACGCCCCATTTCCACCATTTCCTGGGGAATGCAGGTTTGGCTGTGCTCCGCACGGTCAGGTCCCTCAATTGGGTTTCCTGATGTCCATCGTTTTACAGACCATGCCACTGAGACTTTCTTAAGTTTCAGGATGTCCACTTTCTGGTTCGTGTAGGACAAAGCCCCCCCCACACACATGTGTGTATATGTATTATATGTAATACAACATAATATAAAATAAATAAATAAATAAATATATATATATGCACATGTTGTACAGTCTCATATATATGTATGTATGTATGTGTATATATATATGTATGTATCTACATAGCTCACTGGTGGGGGGGGGGGGGGGTGTACCCTATACACCCATGCGTATGTGTATGTATACATACATACATACATACATACATACATATATACATATATACATATATACATATATACATATATACATATATACATATATACATATATACATATATACATACATACATACATACATACATACATACATACATACATACATACATACATACATACATATATACATATATACATATACGTATACGTATTCATATACATACGCATATACAAATGCATATGCAGATACATACACATAGACATATACATATATGTATATATATATATATGTATATCTATATCTATATCTATACCTATATCTATATCTATATCTACATATATATATATATAGATATATCACATAGACATGTGTGTGTGTGAGATTGATCGATGTATCATCATGTTATGATGTCGTCATTGTTATGACAATGCCTCACGGACCAAGCCCGAGGCGCAGGTCATGGCGAAGCGACTGCCGCCGAACCATCCGCAGCCTGACAGAGATCAGATATCTGGTAACAGATCTGAATAAGAAATAGTATGTATATGAACGTATACATTATATGCATATGTACACTCAAGAAGTTTAAAGCATAACAAGCTTCAAGAAATAGTGTGATGATACGGAGTGTTTCAGGGTTGAGGACGGTCGGGCTTGGGACTCTACAGCTTCGTCGTTTTGGGGTTCGTGTCTGTTCTTTAGGCTGAGAAAGCTCACGCGGATACGAGATAACGCCAGTGCGTGGCATGCATGTTCGACTACGTGCGAGCATGCTCTTAATCGTTTCCCCCTAATATTAAACGGGGGGTCCCCCCCCCCCCCAATAGAAATTCGAAATGTGTTTTTATTATTAGGGGGAGGTTTTTATCCAAATGCCATGTTTGGGGTCCAAAGGGTTTAGGGTCTAGGCTGGGGAGAGGGAGAGAGAGAGAGAGAGAGCTTTAGAATGTTGGTTGGCTTGCGGGTTTTGGGTGCCCTGAACCCCCCCTAATTCGGAATAGGGTTTAAAAGGCGGGGTCGGTTTCGGCAGGATTTTCCGGAAAGTGTTTTTAGTATTAGGGGGGTCTTTAATAAAAGGGGGAAGCGATTAGACTCTTTGTGTCAGTACGCCACTGGGTTTTTTCTCCACGTTCCAAAGGCGAACGCCCAAAGCTTCCCAGACCTCTTATGCAACAGACAGCGAATCTAAGGACGCGATTGGCACTGCTGAAGCACCCTTGGCTCTTTGCACGGCTGCTTTGGGATGGTGTTGTTTTTCTGCTTTGAAAAGCTGTCAACCTTGCCCGCATCCATGCGGTCAATGTCACGGTCCACGCTAATGGCACCACACATGGCAGGTTGGCGCACTGCCGCCACAAGTTCATAGAGGCCGGGCGCCGGTTGGGGCTGGCAGAGAGCTTGCGGGGAGTGACGCTGCGGGGCCCTGCAAGATCTTGCGCATGGTGTGCCTGCGTGTGCATAGATGCATGCACCATTGTAAAAAACCACGGATGCTCTCACTCGCATCCGAGAAGCTGGAACTTCAACATGCGTGCGCCATGTAGTCCACCCATGGAGTGCCCAAAGAGCCCAAGATCCCTTAAGTAGGGCATATTCCTTCATTATTTATATAGGGATCCTTCATATGGTTTAAGGTGTATTCCTGAACTAAGTTATTTATATAGGGATCCTTAATATGGTTTGAAGGTACATTCCTTAGCTAAGGGGGTATGGGGCTCTTTGGGTGCCTCGACCCCTGGAAACTCCGCGTCGGCGCCAGGAGGACGCCAAGGTAGGACTGGAGGACAGCTTCTGGAAGAGACGTTTAAAGGGTTTAGGGTTTAGGGTTTAGGGCTCAGGGTTCACGGTTTATAGGGTTTATAGGGTTTATAGGGTTTATAGGGTTTATAGGGTTTATAGGGTTTATAGGGTATATTATAGGGTTCATAGGGCCAAACTTGGAATGTTCCCCCCTTATACGAACAGCGGCCTTAATAGGGATTATAGTACCCCCCCCCCCCTACCCTACAATAATCCCTGCCCAAAGAGCCCAATATCCCTCAATTAGGGAATCTTGCTTCATTTATATAGGGATCCTTCATATGGTTTAAGTACTCCTTAGTCAAGGGGTATTGGGCTCTTTGGGTATTAGGGATTGACATCCAAAGCCCGAACATGAGTGCGGAGTTCTAGGCATCCTTAGAGCTACATTTGCGGGGCTTACCAAAATTCGGGGAACACGGGAACATCGACCGGATCCCCTTATAAGAAGGACACCAATAAGGTACTCTCCCAAAAGTCGGAAACCCCCAGTCCGGGATGGATCCTAATATCATGCTCATGGGCTGGGTTTCGCTTCTTGTTCGGCGGATGTCTTGCCGGAACACATGGACGATTATGACAGCCCGAAGGCTCGATCATCATGAACATGCTGTTACGATTCTTGAGATCTCATCCATGACTCTTCTTCCCTATGTGTTATTGTATAATACGACTATTGCTACCTAGCAGCTCTTCCGCAAAGTGGGCTTGGATGGGCCCGGACCAGAGGTTGTTTTCCCTTTTGTCTAAGGGCAGTTTCACGGTCCCTGTAGGGCTTAGGCTTTAGGGTCCCGCACTGGGTCCCATACCTCCTTTAAAGCGTTCTTGAAGTCCCGGCTCTTGGGTTGCGTGTTTATAAGGAGTACATAAGGGATCCCCATTAAGGGCCCATGTGAAGGCACCATGTAACTACCCTTTGATTTTACCAGAGCGAGTTCCCTGTTGCCCCTGTAGCCTACTTTGGGCTTGCGGTGGGTTCCCTTGTGCTACTAGGGAACCTATAGGTCTAGCTCAGTGGGCTAGTCTTGTTTGACAGTCTCTGTTAGGTGTTAGGGTTCCCTAAAATAGCCCAAAATTACGGCAAAAGGAGGGACCCCTAGAAGTTGCCTTTAATCTTATTATTCCTCTATAGAACCCCGATAAATGCCTTATATAGTCTCAGGAAACCTAAGCAGGCCCAACTAACCCCTAAATAACCTCCAAGGTCCCTTATAAGGGTCCCTCCTTTAGTCCCTTGATAACATGAGCAAGAACGAAGCCCTCTTCAAGGATCCGTTCCTCTCGGCGACACAGCTCGCAGATTGGATCCACAGTACGACGGGTCACCAGGCCCTGAACCCTGAACCCTCAGCCCTATGCGGAGATGTTGTAAAGAAGTTAGGAGGTCGTAAAACACACATGGAATGTGAAGGGTTCAGGTTCTTTTGTTGATAATCCCGAACCTTAGGGCTTTCAGTTACCACTCCTCCCCCTTCCCCCCGCCCCCGCTGAACCGTAAGCCCTAAACCCTAAACCCTAAACCCTAAACCCTAAACCCTAAACCCTAAACCCTAAACTAAGAAGGCCGCGCCGGTAAGACCTGGGCTGGCAGAGTGTGTTGCCGGAGAACCCTTGGCGAATTCTACAAACCCACATTCGGGCTAGGATCCCTTATGAAACACCTTTTGGCGCCCTAAACCCGAAACCCTGAACCCTGAACCCTGAACCCTGAACCCTAAACCCTAAACCCTAAACCTTGACTTAACCAAAAGATGCAGAGCCTAAGAGGCACCCGTGCCGGCGGACCTCAAGATCGGAGCCAACTTTCACGGCACCGGGCCCGTGCCGGGGTCCCTGGCTCCCAAAACCCTCAACCCTAAGCCCTACTCAGGGCTTTTGGGCTTAGGGTTTAGGGTTTAGGGTTTAGGGTTTAGGGTTTAGACCCTCAACCTGATACATCCCAGACTAAACTCTGCCGCCCATGTTAGGATTTGGGGTCCTTTTCTAGACATGGGTTGCAACGAGGTCCATGAGAAGCCCTACAAGGCATGTGCAACTGGGCCTACAACACCCAAATCTCGAAGCAGGGTGTTATCTGGGCCAAAGCCTAAACCTCAACCCTCGTCCGCTTCGAAAATCCACCCGAGCACGGGGTCTCTGACCCTCAACCTCAAGGCAACTTCAATGTCGAAGTCGTCGCTACCGCATCCCCAACCCTGAAGTCTAAACCCAAAACTTCTCTTAAACCCTAAGCCCCAAACCCTAAACCCCAAACCCTGAAGGGCTAACAGGTCGGCCATAGCTCCCCCTGGGCGCCCGGGCTGGCTAAGGGACGACGAGGCCTGCTGCATGCACGGGTTTAGGGCTAGGAGCCTTGGTAAGGGTTTAGAGTGTAGGGTTGAGTCTTACCTTCAATGATTCTACACGTTGCACTCATCCATGGCTGCACCGCTTTAACCCTGATCTTCCGAAACCTTAGGCCAAGTCTAACCCCGTTCTCTTTTGGGTGGGGTGGGGGGAGGGGAGCTTAACAGCATCGGGGGCTTTAAGACTGTTGGGCTTGAGGCTAAGATCACAAGGGTCTCAGTTCGGGGTTTAGGGATTGAGCAATGGAGCAGTCGAGGGTTCGGGACTGTGCTGTGCGCAGCACTTTGCTGCTATGAGAGTTGTCACGGAGCAGGCCGGCGTGCGAAACGATTCTTTTGAAGTCAACCCATGAAAAGAGCAACACCGAAGCCACGCCATGAAGGCACCAGGAGGTATGCAAAGGAGGTGCGGGATCAAGGTCCGCGGGTACCCTAACCCCTGACAGTGTCCTCAGTACCCCTGCATCAAAGTGCTGGGTTACAATTAGGGTTCTGCCCCCTTCCCAAAGAGCCTAATATCCTTCAATTAAGGAAAATACCATAGGCCCTGAACAATATTAAGGATCCCTACATGAATTAAGCAGTATCCCCTAATTAAGGGATATTGGGCTCTTTGGGTAGTTGTGCGACCTCAGGACGGGCGACCTGGCGTGTCCCGGTACTTTCCAGGCGGGCCAAGCAAGGAATAATGACTCACGGTACAGTTCACTTCCTGTTTGGTTCCTTACTTAAGTCCCCATATTGAACTCTGTAAAGGGCCTTTTCAGGGATTATAGGGTATAATAGCCCATCCTGGTATGAGAGGGATATCCCTTTACATGCCACCGCCCGACAACAAGGCGCTCCAACAGTTGACCAGGGAAGGAGCAACAAGCATCGCATAGTCGCCTTGATGTGTATCTTAGATACAGGTTCGGCCGGTCCAGAATTTGCTGGGTCTTTGTCAGGAAGCCGAGAGCCCTCGACTCAAGTGTCAGAGACATGTCTTCTCCTCGAGTTCAGAAGCTAGCTGTCCTTTCTTCCGCATCGATGCTTCAGACCAAGGGCGGGCCCAGGTGATACTTTCTGGCGGCCAAACCTTAAGCTTTTAAATCCCTAAGCCCATGAACCAGCTCATTCTGAGAATATTTCAGCATACCCCGAGGCCATACCCCTAAACCCTAAACCCTAAACCCTAAACCCTAAAACCTACTAAACCCTAAACCCTAAACCCTAAACCCTAAACCCTAAACCCTAAACCCTAAACCCTAAACCCTAAACCCTAAACCCTAAACCCTAAACCCTAAACCCTAAACCCTAAACCCTAAACCCTAAACCCTAAACCCTAACCTACAAACGGCGGAAAGAAGCCTCGGCCATCCAAGCAGAACCGGCAGGCGAGCGCTGGTACGACGCTTTGATGGGCTTCGTGGCCTTCATCTACCAGGGCCCTCAGCTCAGAATAGAGGTGTGGGTGATCACTCCAAGTCCCTAAGGGCTTAGTTAGAAGGGGGCTCTTGTGGGTTTAGGGTTGATATAAGGGTTCGGGATGCCCATGGTCTAGGGTGATCCCTATGGTTTAGGGTGATTGCCGAGCCTGCGTGTTCTGGCTAGAGGGCCAGGAACGCGACTTCGAAGAGAGGGGCTCCATTTTGCAAAGGTCTGCTGCCCCTAACCCGCAAGCCCGAAGCCCTAAGCCGAAGGCACAAAGCCCCAGATACCCCTGAATGAAGGAATATACCCTAAACCATATCAAGGATCCCTATATAAATTAAGCATAGGGTTCCCTAACTAAGGGATCTTGGGGGCTCTTTGGGGTTTAAGGCCTCCACAACCCTCAAGAACTTCAGGCTACCAGCCGGCGAAGCTGCAGCCGACCCTGGAGGTGACGCGATTCCTCTCCATGGCCTGGCGCTCGGATGGGGTAAGGGGGGCAGGGGGGGGTGTAGGGTTTAGGGTTTAGGGTTTTAGGGTTTAGGGTTTAGGGTTTAGGGTTTTGGGGTTTATGGTTTAGGGTTAGTTCAAGATTTCCTTTCTGCGGTCGGATTCTTCCATGTTTGTGCTTCAAAGGGGGCCATGAATTTTGCAACCGGTTGATGCTTTTGCAGCAAAGTCGAGGCACTCCCTAGAGAGGATGTCAATCAAGGAAAGGATTCGTTAGGTCAGTGTAGATACCCAACGAGCCCCATATCCCTTAATCAGGGAATATAGCTTAATTTATCTAGGGATCCTTAACATGGTTTAGGGTATGTTCCTTAACAAAAGGGTATTGGGCTCTTTGGGTATATCACCACCGCAACGGCGACGACCACGACGACCACCACGAGGGGCACGACCACCACACGTCGCATCAGTGACAACTGCCAAGGCAATCACCGCATTGGACGCCATCGGTTCACTACGTAGAATTCGTGCAGACCCTAAAAGCCCTGTAAGAGCCTAAGTCCCTAGACACCTCAGACTGCTGCTTGTATCCGGAACGCCAGAGTTCTTGGAACAGAGGATGAGGGAAGCCCAGAACGCCTCCACTCCAAGACTCATAGGGAGAAGGCCTCGACTTCCCTTTATAGGGCTTTTCAAATTGTACTTGTATTGGGGTTTTGTGGGGTTGTCATGGCTTTTTAGCGTATTTGAAGGGGCCTTAGAGGGCTTTAGACGGCTCTACAGGGCTGTATAGGGGTATTATAGGGTTTTGGGGTACAGGGTCAGCACTGGGTCCATACCATCCATCGCGTGCATCGCTTGCAGGACACCAGCGCCTAAACGCCCTGAACACCCGAGGCCTGCCTACAGTAGTATAGGCTGTATAGAAACAGCATGCTTTCTCATTTTTTAGAAACATATGATTACAGAATACATTAGACATAGATATAGATGCTCGTTTACCCTAAAGAGGAGAAGTAGACCATCAGAGCTCCTCGTAGCGCGCTTCATGTCGGACACCAAGACTGAGGAAACGGTGCGCGGGAACTGGAAGATCGTGTACACACGGCGAAGGGATCCGAATGGCTTCCACTACGTGACCGAGGTTCTGCACGAGCCTACAGGCAAAGTTGTGAAGAAGCTGGAGGGAAGTGACATCGTGACAAAGTTCGGCGAGCACGAGTCTGGGAGAATTTGCCGGAGTTCGTCGCGACAAAGAAAGATGGTGTGGAGATCCTCCAGCTCAAGGTAAATGACATCAAGACCGGTGAGGCAAAGCTATATCCACTCAAAGAGCCGCGCTGAAGACCAAGACTGCCACACAGATGTGATAGACACCCGGACACTGGACGGCGCCGCCCGACTTTCAGAATGAAGAGCCTGGAGTTCCTTAACCTACTGCGGCCTCCTAGACTCCAGGACGTCATGGTTGCTTGAAGCATCGATGCTCCCCCAGGCCACTGTCCGAGCACTTCCACTGTCCCTTGCACGCGGCTTGCAGAGAGGAGTGGGAACTGTTGCAGGCGACGAGAGCACAAAAAGAGAAGGGATTAGGCTGAGAGTTTGCTGCGACGGATTCTTGGCATATCTCATCCTTGCTCCATCCTGGGACTAAGAGACTCTCATTTCGGAATACCTAGTTCGCGGGTTTCAAGGTCCAACCTCGTTTGCCCGTTAAAACAGCTGGACAGCTGCCTCCAGGCCCCAAAACCCTGGGGTCCACGACCCTATAAACACAAATTGTGAAAGGGGGCTTTTGGGGTTAGGACTGAGGGCCCTGAACCCTAAACCCTTCACCTGAAGCCCGAAATCCTAAACCCTAAACCCTGCAGCTCCTTATAGACTCTAAAACCCCTTAACCTCTTCACCCCTACAAGCTAAAACCCTGAAGCCCTTAAGCCTAAACATCGCTCCCACTGCCCAGGCCTTTCCGGTGAAGGGCAAAGAGCTGGCTATGCTGGTCGTGAGCTCAAACAACGTCGGGTGTAAGGTTTAGGGTTTAGGGTTTAGGGTTTAGGGTTTAGGGTTTGGGGTTTGGGGTTTGGGGTTTATAAGGGTTTATAAGGGTTCAGGGTTTATAAGGGTTAAGGGTTTAGGATTTAGGGTTTAGGGTTTAGGGTTTAGGGTTCCTTGTTTGCAATTCTAAAACCCCAAACCTTGCAACCCCTAAGCGACTGAAATCTTACCCTAGGGGCCCAACATCCCAAATAATTAAAAAAGAACAGATAAATGATGGGGTCTTGGGCCCTTAGGGTAAGACTTAAGATCGTCAACCCTAACCACCCAAGTTCTCGCTACTAGTTGAGGGGTGAGGTCTGAGAGGTCCGGGGTGCACTGCCCGCCCTGTGCCCTCCTAGGAGTTCAGGTTTCAGTATGCCTCTTGCAAGCGAGCTGCCGTGGCAGTCTGCCTAGCATTCCGCGTATAGTGTTGTGGCAGTCCAGCAAGGGAACAGTGCACTCTGCAAGCCAGCTTTGGTCCATGAGCATGGGACTGAACTTTTAGTGTGCTGGTATGTGGCAAAGTCAACATTACATGTCATGTTGAAGTATTTGTGATTCTTTATTCGTTTGCTTAGGGCAGCCTTTCTTCAAGCTCTGGTGGTAGTAGCTCCTGACTCAAAATGCCGGCGAAAGCCCAGGATGCGTCCGGTTTGGCTGAGCTGCAGGAGGCTCTTGAAGTCTTGGGATTTCCCGAGCTCCCGGCAGACCCCAATGTGGTACTTCAGGCGTTCAGGCGCCTGAGTCTGAGAGTGCATCCTGACAAGCCAGGAGGGAATGCGGCATTGTTCGCGAAGCTGGTGGCTGCGAAAGATTTGGTGCTGGTGAAGATCGAAGAGTCACTTCGGCGTGGCGAAGACGAAATCTCCAAAGCTGCTGGCTGTCTCAAGTGGCTTAAATGTCAGTGCCATACCTGCGTGCCCCTCATCCTCAAGTGTGGAACCTGTCTTGGATGCATACGTGAAGCTGGCCCTCACAAGTGCGGTGTTCTGAGCACGGCTTCCGGCCGATTCGGCCAAGCAGGTCGTGCCTTCATCTTCAAGGCGATCGCGCATGATGGATCCAGTGAAATGGAGGGCATCGCAGCCTGGGAGAGGCGCCAGGAAAAGGAAAAGGCTTGCCCGCGGGAGCTCGGCAAGCTTCAAACCGCTGACAGGAAGCACCAGCTCAAGATGGCTTAGTTGACCGCTTTCGACGACAACGAATCCTTGGCAAAAGAAGCGAGGCAACAAGCAGTGGACATGTTCGAAGCCGAGACTGGTCGCTTGCCTGAGGGACTCAAGTCGGTATCTGACCAGGAAAACACCGTTGTGCAGCAGGTTCAGATCCGCAAGGAACACCTCCCTTACGATGTCTGCCCTCGCTGTGGATGTGGTATTGGTTGGATGAAGTGCCGTTTTCATGAAGGGCATGCCCTTCTACCCAGAGCGCAAGCGTGGCTCTGCTTACGTGGATGCCATGACTCCGCCAAAGCCCAGCAGTGCTCCTCGGTTGGCCAAGGAGACTCTGACATACTTGTGAGAGGCGTCCTGATTTGAAGCTCTTCCGTACTGAAGCAGTAAGCCTTCTAATCCCCTTCTAATCCCTTTATATGTCCACTAAAGTACTTGCCGTTGTTCCCATCGTTTATGGGAACAACGGCAAGTACTTTAGTGGACATATAAAGGCTTTAGAAGGGGATTAGAAGGCTTACTGCTTCAAGCAGTCAATGCAGCCGCTACACAGCACACTCAGAAGCACACTCAGAAGCTGGCAGTCAAAACAAGGCCGAGAGTTTGTAGGGTATAAGATGTCAAAGCCTCATGGTACTTGTTTGCTCTCGGGTTTTTTGAATAGCCGATTTTTTGGTAGCCGATTTTTTGAATATTGAATAACAAATTTTTGGAATAGCCGATTTTTGAATAGCCGAAGGTCCACAGAGGTTCTGCCATGATCTGCCCCTTCCCCGGCAAGCAATACTGAAACCCTGAACCCCTGGAACACAATCTACCCGAAAGTTGGAAGCAGCATGGTCGTGAGCTCATCCGTTCCCTGGACTTTGTTCGCTTACTCATGGCCATACAGTGATGCATTAGGTTCCGCATGCCTGTTTGCTTCTTTATCGCCAATGCTTGTCTTCTTTTGAGTCTCCGTCGCCTCTTGCACCCTGGGATTCAAAACCAAAGACGGGCCATTTGGGAGCCAAAGGCTTGTGTCTTTGTATCACTGTATCACTAGTGCTTGTCTTGTTTTGAATCTCCGTCGCCTCGTGCACCCTGGGATTCAAAACCAAAGACGGGCCATTTGGGAGCCACAGGCTTGTGTCTGCGGGAGGGCGGGGGCAGCGAGGGGGGCGAGGGCAGCGGGGGGGGGGAGTCGGGCATGCGCTGGAGCCCTTGAAATTGAAACACTTCATGTCCAGGTTAGACCGCCAGTGCCGCCGACCCCCCAAGTGGCAACTCGCAGTATGTGTGCGAACTTGGCTTCTTTGTCCCCAGGAGGAAGGGCCGCCCCTATAGAATTCATCGAGCCTACCACAGGGTTCCGTACAGCCCTAAAGGCTGAAAAGCCCCGAACTGCTTCGCCAACTTCCAAGCCGAAGGCAGACTCCTTGGAACGCCGGGGCAGCGACATCCTGCCGTTTCTGGCTCAGAGCCCCAAAGACAGTAGCACCCCGGAAAGATGCCTATATAATATTCATACACATGCATATATATATATGTATTTATGTATTTCTTTATTTATTTTTTCTAGGCACCAGGGTCCCCACATGACTACCATCTACCAGCCTATAATGCCCGGTTTCATTTCGTGTTCCCATATCTTATCGTTCAAGGGTTCACAGGAAGCCTTGCTGATTCTTGGGAGTTCTTGTGTAGCAAAATAGGGAGGAAGGTCCCCATCAGAGTCCCTTGAGGCTGGCAATTCCTACTAAGAACTAGTAAGCTTTCTGGCCGGCGCCTCCCCTTACGTCGTTGATCATCTCACCTTGGGATGGGCGAGGTCGTGTTGCTGCAGGGTAGCCGGGGGTACTCTCTTCTCCCCTGTTGCTTCCTCAAAGTCGGGCTTAGGGATGTTTAGGGTTTAGGGTCCTCAAGGTGTGCCAGTGCACTTCAGCCACATGGAAAAGCGCGAAACCCTCATCCGGCGAACTGTCAACCTAAGATGCGGAGACCCCCCCTTAAGCCCTCACGCCCCATAGCCTCAACCACGAGGGCACCAAAGCCCGAAGCCCCAAAACCCCAAACTCTTTAAGCCGCCAGAACACATGCAAAAAAAAAGAATCCTAACTGGCCCACACCACCAAAACCCCCAAAACACTTCAAAAGGCGGCCGCAAAACCCCAAAACCCCAAACCACATAACCCCCCCCCAAAAAACACATTAAACACTTAAGCTGCAGAAGCCCAAATCCCCGAAACCACCAAAACCCGGATTCGCAAAACCCCAGAAGTCCCAGAGCTTGGAGGTCGGAAGCACGGCAGGTCATCGCCAACTGGTCCATCAACGTGCCGCTCCTGGGATGGGCTGAGGGTTGAGGGTTGAGGGTTGAGGGTTTCGGGTTTCGGGTTTAGGGGCTTAGGGGCTTAGGGTTTAGGGTTTAGGGTTTTTTCGGGTTTAGGGGCTTAGGGGTTTAGGCTTTAGGGTTTAGGGTTTGGCAGTTTGAGGGGGTCAGTGTTTTAACTTGCAAGGGGAGTTTTGGCATTCGAAGGTGTGAGGGCTTTGGGTTGCTTGAGGTTGTAGGATCGTCATGTTTACTGAGAGCTCGGCGCCAAGAAATCGACCAGGACTGGGAGTAGGCCCTTTTTGTCCTTCTTTTAGGGCTGGGGTTCCCTCATAAATCCCTTGAAACCAAACAGGGTACCCTTTTTATTCCTAGGCTGCTCCCGGGCCTAGCCGAGTCCCCAGATCCCAATTTCATCTTAAAATCCATAACTTAGTAGACCAGCGGTACCGTTTAGCCTTGTTCTGGGTTCAAGGTTCCCTTCTCATGAACCAACCGAAAAAGGGTGCCCTTATCATTGTAACATGGTTACTGGGCTCAAGGCCTTCTTTCACCACCGGACTCTTCGGCTATGTTACGACCCTAAACCCCAAACCCTAAACCCCAAAGGTGGGCCCTAAACTCCCTAAACCCTAAACCCCAAACCCCAAACCCCAAACCCCAAACCCCAAACCCACCCCAAAGGTGGGCTTGGGCGACCCCGAGTACGAAGCCGGGGATGGCATCGCGTCGCAGGCAGGGGATAGATCCTCAGGGGCTGGGTAGTTAACCTTTAACCTTTGCTGGTTAGAGCAGTCCTACTACAATTCGAAGGCCAACTTTTTTTTGGGCTAGGGTGTTCAGCCCCGAAGTATCAGGGGTACTTGGGAAAAAATGCCCGTGTGGGCTTTTGGGGCAGCTTCTGGGGCGACTTGTCGAATATGGGCTCCTTGGATGCAGAAAGCGCTGAGGGGCGCTTGTGTAGCGGATGCACACCTCGGAAGTCACAGGGAGAAGGCGCGAAATGGAGTGGACCCTACAGACCTCAAACCGCAAGCCGGAGAAGCCCTAAACCCTAAACCCTAAACCCTAAACCCTAAACCCTAAACCCTAAACCCTAAACCCTAAACCCGGGCTTTTCTCTCCTGAAGGAGCACATCAACGGCCTGGTAAGACGGGGTGTCCATCACGCAAGAGCCATCGGTGCGCCTCTGGGAGTGGCAGAGCAGGGTTCAGTTATAGGGTTTAGGGTTTAGGGTTTGGGGTTTCGGGTTTAGGGTTTAGGGTTTAGGGTTTACGGTTTAGGGGGGGTTAGGGGTCAGGGTGAGGGTTTAGGTTTTTAGGGTTTAGGGTTTACGGTTTAGGGTTACTAGATTGTTTCGGAAGAATTCAGAAGCAAAGGTCGTGTTATAATAAAAATCTGACCGCCTTAAAAGGTTAAGACAGATGACCTTGGAACGCAGTTCAGGGTTCTAGTCCCTGCTTTGAATGTCCGAAGAGCTGGCGTTTTCCAGTTGAACTTGCCCTGAAGCACAAGAAGTCAGATTTCCCAACGTGATTTTAAGTTGTTCGGCAGGCTGCGTGACCCATTTCTCTTGGCCACCCCGGCTTATGCGAGAGTTTTGGGCAGGTGAGTACACGGGACTTTGGGTTCCAGCTCCAAACCCCGAACCCTGAACCCCACACCCGGCTGAACCGTTCCTGAAGCCCTCAAAAGAGGACTTGGCTTACGATGTTAAGATGGCTCATCCGCCTGGGGCATAGAAGGTCGGCAGGGGGCGCTCCAGTCTTTGACATGCCCCCAGAGCAGCACCTGCAACCTGCGACGAGCTCGGCGCTGGGGCGGGAGGAGAGGGGGTGGGGGGGGCCGGGGGGGGGGGGGGGGGGGAGGGGGGGGGGGGGGGGGGGGGGGGGGGGGGGTTCAAGAGGGTTTAGGTTTCGGGTTTAGGGTTTAGGGTTTAGGGTTTAGGGTTTAGGGTTTAGGTTTCGGGTTTAGGGTTTAGGGTTTAGGGTTTAGGGTTTAGGGTTTAGGGTTTAGGGTAAACCCTAAATTGGTTTGGATTGGGTGTTTGGGTCTCGAGATCAGGTGTTTGAGCTCCACATGGGCCTAAGGGATACAAGCTGTCCTTTCTTCTGAAGGGACTTCGTCAGGGCAGCATGGTCGTGAGTTCGGAAGGCTCCTAAACCATCCCAAACCCCCCTGGAAAAAGCTCCCTGAACGACCCTAAACAGCCCTAAACCCCTAAAGGACCCTAAACCCCCCCTAAACCGCCCTAAACGACCCTAAACCTCTAAATCACCCTGAAAGCCCCCCTAAACCCCTGCACCGGTGTAAGGCCTGGGAGCAGGGCTGAAGACCTTTATGTGGACATGGAAGGGTGGTAGGAGATGGGGATTTCCGAAATTCGGGGTGCGTTTTTGGGGGTTCTTCTTATTCGGGAACCTCACTAATTGGGGGTGGATTTAGGGTTCAAGGGTTTGAGGGTTTAGTTTAGGGTTTGGGTGCTTTGGGTTTGCGGGACGCTGCATCTGGAAAAGAGTCTTCTGTCGAACCAATACAAGCCCGAAGAGTTTCTGAGGACTGAGATCTCTGTGATCTCGTCCCATCATCACTGAAGCTCACAAAATGGACATAAGACAGCCGGAAGCTATAATAATATTCGTTCGGCACATTCGAATGTAGAGGTGCGCCCTTGAGTCCTGTAGACACTCAGGGCTC